TACTTACAAAGATTTTTATCTTTTTAAACCCCCTAGGATTTATATTACCTCGTAGTTGAAATACCCTCTTAAAAACGAAAAAATTTATAAAGTATATATATTGTATACATATATACACATAAAGTATATATAAACACACATGTATATATTTACTGGGATGCCATTCACCTTGCAGTACTTACTAAGAAGCTCTAGTCAAAATTGTGCGGCTTGCCAGCAATAAGAAATGACAGCAACATCATCTGTAAAAAATAAGTTTGAGGGGATCTCTATGAGAATTTCATTAAATTTAAAAAAGGTTTTAATATATAATTCTATTGTTAAAGAGTGATATAAATTAAATCTTAATTAATCGAATTGTAAAATAAAACATCAAATGGATATTCTTATGATCATTTACTTCGAAAAACCCAACATATTATTGTTTTTATTTTGCATATATGTATTTCTAAATTCTTATCATTAAAATTTCATTTTATAGATATTAAATTAGCTGACAAATAAATTAAGAAGTTACTATTACGTTACGTACAAACACAATGTATCATATATGAATGACCTATTTCATATGGAAGCAAATGTAGTTTCTTTTATGGTGTAAAGGTAAACGAACTGTTAACACATTTTGCAAAAGGAAGTGTACCATAGATGATATCGACATTAAACGCTTGTTCTTACCGTTTTATACTTAGAAACAATATCTTACGTTATATAGAACATAACATTTATTTAAAAACACCATGTGTTTTTACCACCAATCAGATAAGTACTATTAAAAATGTATTTGATGTACAGTAATACCAGAAGTATTTAAATTTGCTAAGTGAACAATGAAGAGGAATGCATGTACGGGATATATTTGACTGTTCTGCATTTTGCATTTGGTCAACCGGTAATTTATACAACAAATTATGTTTATTGTCAGTAAATATTTCTTCTTAGAAAACTTTGCTTTATTTGTTTAAATAAATAATAGTTCTGTATTTTTTATTTATTTTTACGATTTACCATCTCTTGGATTCTTTATTCCAATTTATATTGGAAGATTTTGTTTATTTTTACCCCTTTTTTATTAGAGATTATTATCGTAATAAAAAGTTTAATTTAGATTCACTTGACTTACGTCTTGAAGAGGGGAATTTGAAGGGAGGCTTTAATAGCCGCTAACAAGTAGAGCTTTAGAGACGAGAGATCTTAAAGAATTAAGAGGATGGTCGTTCTAAAGGCGGATGCTTGTGGTGTCAAAAGAAAACCAGCCTCCTTTACAAACCTTTGAAAAACCGGTTTATGACGTGTAACCAGCCATTCCTTCCACCTTCATTTGGCTCTTATTTCCTCAGCACTTCCCCTAAGGGCTTTTCTCAAAAATTTACCAACATCGTTCTTTTTATTCGTTTTCCCTTCATTGGACAAGCGGGATTTCATTTTTGTTAACGTAAGTAGGACAAGGAATGGTGAAATATTGGAATGTAATCGTATTAAATCAAATAAACCTAAAGTAGGTTTTTTTGATAAGTATGAGAAATTAAGAATATATTTTTCGTTTGAAAATCATAAAGAGACTACCTACAAAAACACGTTTATTTTCAAAAAATGCATTTCCTTGAAAAATTTTCAAAGAAAGTTATTAATTATATCTCATTAATACAATAGAGAAATCAAACTTTTGTCTAAAATGTGTGTTCGAAATAAAGCCCGGATTTATATGCAATAAAAATCCTGAAGTATGCCGCACAACATACACTAAATAAACTTTAAATAAGCAATATTATACGTACTAAAATACCCACAAATATACCATAAATTTCAACTGAAGATATTAAAATACCCAGATGAATATCAAAGACACCGGTGCAGCAAATGGACTATATGACTCTTCAATTAAATTTTTTTGAAATAATTTCGATACCTGTTGTTCTATTTCTTTTTTATTTTCAATAGTACATCTATATGGTCTTTTACTACAATATTTATCTATCAATAGATCAATATGTGTTTCATAACCCTTCACCATGCCTACGTCATATTTATCCTTAGCAAACAGTGATTTATATTTGTATATTAATTTATCTATTTCCGATCGTTGCTGAATGTCCAGATGATTGACGAAAACATTAAAATTGGCTACTTTTATGTGTTCGTTAAAATTGATTTTATATTCCTTATTTATTTCATTTCTAGGTTTGGTTAGGATATCCGCATCTCCATTATTTTGTGTATTTTGTTTGTTTTTTCAATGTTGTTACCTGACAATACAGGAATTATGTTTTTATTTCTGGGAGTTTCATTCTCTTTCTCGACTCCTTTCGTGAGATTGAGGGTTTTTTGTGTAATTTCCATCTTTTCGTTTTGAACTAGGTTAAAATTTTCTATACAGTCTAATCCAATTAAGAAATTATAATCAAAACTTTCTTCATCTACCACGAAAACCTTAACGTTCTTTTCAATATCAAAAATCTTAATCTTTAAGGTTACTAGTCCAATAGTTTTCTTCACACCATCAATCGTTTTTAAGTTTGCAATTTTTGTTTGTTTGCTATTTTTATTATTACTATTAATTGTTTTTTTTTCAAGTATAACAATTTGGAATTTATTAAGGAAACATTTGAACCTGAATCATATAAATCTTAAAATTTCTAAAGTATCATTTAATAGCAATTTAATATTGATTAATGGTAGAATTGCAAGTTTTTTGGATCCATATCACTTAATTCTGTGTTCAATTCAGAATTATTAACATTATCTGTTCTTTTTTTGTGCCGTACTACTTTTGTCTTCGAACCAATATAAGGATTCTGGAAGATAACGAATACCTTTGTTTCTTTGTTCACAAATTCTGAACGGTTTGCCCCTTCCATTTTTTTTCCTCTAGTTTCATTTTCCAAACAAGCTATTCTCTTTTCCGAATTCTTCTTTTGTACTAAATGTTCTAATCATTTTATGGTATTATATAAATCAGTAATTTCTTTCAATTTATTTTTATCAATTTTGTCGGATATAAAATTTGGTAGTCTTGTAGCGATTAGGTCAATCAAAGCTGGTTTATTCGTTGATTTATTTACTTCCAATAAAAGCCTTTCTTTTTTCAAGGCGCATTCTAACAACGAGCCCTTGATGTATTTGAATAATATTGCATACCTGACTGGCGACCACCCTTTGTCTGAGTTAGTTTCACAAAAATTGTCTCTTCACATGGACAATTCCGAGTTTATAGTATGTTTTATAAGCATGGAACTGTACCAGTCAAGACACGACTCCTCTAAAAATAACCTTAGGACTTCAATTTTCTTGATATCTTTTTCTATTCCCAAACGAGTACATTCACTTTCATAAATATTCATCCATTGGGATACGTTTGAGATTTTTTTTGAGAATATTTCTATGACCAATTTTTCTTACAACGTTTTTATGTTATGACCTTTAGAAATATCTTTCTTTTGTTCTGAAAAACTTTCCAGGATTCTTGTTAACGCTTCTTCTGAGATTCCAGCAATAGAAGCCTCTTGTTTTATTGGTATTGTTGGTGTAATCTCCTCTAATATATAATCCATAAATTGCATATTCCCATTTGCATCTACGTAAACATTACTTCTCTCTTTTGTTAATGAAATCCATACCTGTTTCTTATCGTTTCTCCTTTGTAGAGTATTTTTTACTTTTTGGTAAGTTTGCGTTTCCGTAATCGCCTTATGCATTTTTTTGAACGAGAAAGGTCCGCCCGTCGACTGCTGTAATCGAGGATATACAAATTTCATTTATTTTTTAGTCATTTCCAGCTTTTACCACAAACTCAAATCTTAATTTTTCCATTCTTTTCGCAGAATTGTTGTTTTATAATGTGTAATTTAAAGAAAATGCACAACCTTATTAGGCGTTTGGGGTATGAAATAATAAGCCAAATTGTGTTGCTATAACAAACGGCAATTAGAGCTATCATTTGTATTAGATTTTCAACACTTTAACAATGCACTCCTAATTTCTTATCTACTCTAACCTCCCTCTTAACAATCGAGTGCGCGACAAATTTCAAAATTAGTTTAAACAAATATAAATGTGCTTAAAAGAAGTATGACGTTAATATGTAATGTCGACTTTCTTTTACATATATATATATAAATTATTACTTATATTATAGTTTCATGAATTCTTGTTAAAAGTCGTGTATAAATGAGCAATCTAATTTTAATTCGGTAGTTACAATCTCCAGACTTGAAATGCAAATTAATTAAACAGTCAATTATATTTCCGTACAATTTATTGTATATTTTAATATGATTTTAATATTGTAAATTCACAAAATAATATGATAAAGTAATGAAAAATATAAGTTGCCTTATTTACATGTTTATGTGATATAAAGTGTATATTTTTATATGACTCACTCAGCAAATTTTGATATATAAAGGGCTATGAAGTGCATAGTGCACAAATTCAAGTATATCCTAACAAACAAAACATACTAACTACTTATCGATCTATTCTACATGATACAAAATTAAGGGGAATGGAAGAAAGAAACCAAAAAAAATGTACTTGTAGGTACTTTTATTTAAACATAATTGCCAAATGCATTTTAGTAGTTTTTACACAATAATACATAAAATTTTAAAACGAAACCGTTTTATATTTCGGAGACAGGATTGTGAACAAATCTTGAGACTTCTGACTGTCTACGGATCCTGTTTTTTCATACAATATATTACTAACAACAAAGTATCTTTGCGGTTTTTACGTCACGTTGCTCACCTCAACAGTAAAGTAGTTAGTTAAAATGACGGTAATATTCTTTTATGGCGTTGATAGATTAATCCGATTACTCGGAACATTTCACGGCCTTCGGAGGACAGTTCAAAAATGGAGAAACGTCAATGACAACATCTATCACAGTTTTATAAAAATGTTTATGGCGGTAATGTTGATTGTTATAAAAAGATAGTAGGGAAAAAATATTAACACATCTACATTTTAATTACTTTATTGCATGATTTAAATACTTATTTTTAAAATGCATTATTATAAGTGAACCTGGAAATCATATCAAGGGCCCACAAAGGCTGGTCCATGGGGACCATGTGTCCGGCGTCGCGCACGAGGACTTGTGTGAGTCCTTTGGCGGTTTTGCTGTAGCCTGCCAATTCTCCGTTGACCTTCCACAGTTTCCTCTTCGCCTGCTTAAATTCATCTGCTCCCGACCATTTCACGTTGTTAAGAAAATTGGAGGTCATAGGATAGGGGACGATGATGTCTAGTTGGCCGTTGTAGATGAGAACCTTGTATTTCTCAACTAGAACTTCAAACCACGGTTTGATCGATTGCATGACGTCGGATTTTAAGAACTTTCGCACCTTCTTTCCATCGTGGAATGGTAGAGCCCCGACGTGAATGGATCTCCTCACTACGTCTTTTTGAAGGTATTCTCCCAAATTGCCGTATGGAGTGTAGTCTTTGTTGTGTAAGAAGTTAAAATAAAATTCGTAACCGGTGAATTATAAAACAAACTTTTGTAAGGTGACAAGTCTCCGTTTAATAATAGCACGTCGAAGGCTTCAAATGCCGCGTCGTACTTTTGTTGCTTGATCAAGCTGACGATGTTGTTTTGTAAATTGATGAACTGGTCCCGGCCATTTAAGTCGAGTAAACCCAGTTGGAACAGATAATCACCGTAATCTATCATATTTTCAGGATCGCAAAGTCCGTTTCCTATGGCAATTCCTTTCAAGTTGATTTTTTCCTCTGCCATTGGATTGTTGGTATGAATGGCATAAGCGAGTGCAGGGACGTATTTGCCCGCGTACGACTCCCCGGTGACGAAAAAGTCGTTGTTCTTGTAATCTGGAAATAATTGAAAAAATTGTCTAACAGCCTCGTAAAGATTCTTTCCCACGTCGACTTCGTTCCTGGCGTACCCGGCATCGTCGTCTGTAAAGCTGAAACCCGTCCCGACGGGATTGTCGATGTAAATGACGTTCAAGACCTGAGACCAGTAGTATTTTCTCGACCGTAGTCCTCTCTCGGGACGAACGTAGAACGGGCCGTGTTCGTCGAACAGACCGAAAAGAGAAGAACCCCCAGGTCCTCCCTGCAGCCAGACGATGACGGGAGCGTTTTTCGAGTTATGTTCCGCAGGAAAAAAACAGAAAAACATACTCGAATTGTACTTCGGATCGACTGTAAAAAAGCCCGAGTAACTTTCGACTTTAGCAATCCGTGCTACTTTTGCCGCCAACTGTCCTCCTTCAATATCTCCTTTGTTGATGTACTTGGTCACAAATACGGTTCGCCGTGATTAGCCGACCCTTTGTACTTAAAAGATTCAACAACATTACAACAAATCGCAAGGGCAGATAAAAGCAAACTAGTCGAACTGAATTCCCTCCGAGAAAATCTGACATTTCTGACAAGTAGGGTAGTCATATCAAACAAAACATTTATAAAAGAACTTATCGCAATTTAATGCACTTTCAGCATTGTATGTATATGAACATAAATATTAAAATAATTCAATTCTCTAACAAAAAATAAGAAACAATTTTGTACCATTGACTCATTATCACAATATATGAAATTAGAGAAAATTGTCCAGTATAAGCCTATTATTAATACCCACTCTCGTTCTCTCTCTCTCTCTCTCTCTCTCTCTCTCTCTCTCTCTCCTATATAGAGTGAAGTTTCTATAAAATACATGGCTTTTTATTTGTACGCTGTTTACATTTTTGTAAAACTAAGTATTTCGATTATTTGAATATTTTTTATTATTTTTTTAATCTAACTTTAACGTACAGCAATCAATTGAAATTATCGAGTTCTGGCGGAAAAAAAGGAATATCCCCGGAACGAATTTTGAGTTTCAGATATCAATTATTTTTAAAAATGGAAAGGGCTCAAACTGTGTTAAAAAAATATTCGTTATAGAGATATTGATGTTAATGAAAATGATAATTCTGGTTTTTTTTATGGAAAACTCGAGTTTATCTATAAAACGGGCGTATTTTCTGAACCCTGGGCCAATAACAGATTTGGACACGCCTCCAAAAGTCTGATTAAAGTTCCATTAAGAAAAAAGTTGAAAATTGTTAAATGGATTCCAATTTTAAATCGGCAATATATTTCGGTTGGGTTGTAGCACATATGGGTGTGGAGAGAAATGTGGAGCTAATAGCCAATGAGACTTTATGCTCTACAGTCCTACCAATCAGGTACACCACTCATGTCTGATAGACAATGGAATGAAGAATGGCAGAATTGTGAAAATGACGCTAAAACGAAACTTTTCTTTCCTACCATTGGAACACGACAGCGAACCATTTTCGAACTGCCCTACAAAACGACGCAAATACTCGGCGGTCATTAATAAAAGCCTATGTCCATCGCCTAGCTCCACCTAATAGACAGCCCAGCCTTACGATGTTCAAACCACCTTGTTGAACACATAATTCTGCTCTGCCCCCTGTTGGATCAAGTAAGGACTTCGCTGGTCAGGAGAGTGGTTCTTCAAGGCGAGTGGTGACCTCCAACCGACTTCACTTTTTGTATAAAAAAAAATAAATCTGCATACTCACCCCACGTTTATTATTTTTATTTACCATTTCTAAGGCGACTTCATGTTCTCAAGGAATCGAGAGTCCGCTTCATTTGTTGCTTCGATCGGCTTTGATATGCTATTGTTATGACTGTAGTTTACTATTTCATTCATTTATACGAACAAAAATATCTTCTATTTTTCTCTCCCTTTCTTTTAATTATATGAATGCAGTCACTGCTAAAATTTCATTTATTTATATACATATAAATTTTTTATCTATAATGTGATAAGGAGCACTTACTACTAGGTGCTGTTGGAAAGAAAAACCCAGGAGACAGAACCAACCGACAGCTACCAGAACACCCACCTAATGGAAGCATACTTCGTTTTACAATAAATCAGGCAACATAAAAATAAAACGCCATATCCTTTATAAAACCATGGTAGAGTATATAGTGCAAAATTGCAGAATGATCTTTAAGTTATTTTTACTCAGGGTATTCCAGCTATTATCATTATTTAGAAAACATGTTAAAAATATGATTTCTTTGCTAATTACATGCCCCTTAGTTTATCTTGTTGTCCATAAAAAATATCGGATATAATTCTTTTTCTTCGACGATTTTTTTTAAACGAAACATCTTTTCTTGCTAACTAGTTATTAATTCTTGTGAATTGAGGTAAAATGTAAATATCGGATATAGTTAATTATCAACATTAACACTTATATTACAGTTAATTAAGGTTTTTAGTTGAGATAAAAAAGTCAATGGCACGAGCGGGATTCGAACCCACGATCTTCGGCTAGAGGGTTGAGATGGGAAGTTAGTTTCCGAGTGGATCGAGGTCACGATAGCTCAAGTGGAAGAGCAGCGGCGTATCTAGCCAAAGATCGTGGGTTCGAATCCCGCTCGTGCCAATGCCTTTTTTATCTCAACTAAAAACCTTAATTAACTGTAATATATTAATTGGTCAAGCGGACCACGAAATTAGTGAATTATCACTTATAATTGTGTCTGTTTTTCTCTGGTTTTTCTCCTTTCAGTTTAAAATAATTTTTGAAGTTCTGGGTGTATAAATAAAAATATTATGTTATAAGTGTATTAATGTAATAAATAGTTTATTTTATAAATAGCAAGGATTATTTACATAAGGATTAACAAATGTCAATCATTATTTGCGATTCTAGTTCTACAAAACCCTGTCTTGAGTGCCGGGTTCTTCGATTGGGACTTTTTCGCCCAGGGAGCTTTTGAGGAGATTCGCATTATCGTCATTCTGAGTGAGCAAGACGAAAGGAGTTTCCTGACCCTGCCCTGGTACTACAAACCCTTCAAATTGTGACTGAGTTCGGTTGTCCGGTCCTAGCGATAGAGCAAACAAAAATTGTTAAACGTTCGGTAAAAATGTCGGATGTGATACTCACTGAGAACGTTGGTCAAGAAAGAAGTAACACCCTGTATAATAGGCCGAATGAAAGACACCAAAAGGTTTCCAATTGAGCCATCCGCTTGCCTGGCGGACGGAACCGTAATTTGTTCTTCACTTATCCCTGCTGGAATCGCTAAGCAGACCCCTAGGCAAATGCCAATCACCACGCAAGCACTGAACTGCGTTCGAGAGATCATCAGTTAAAAAAATTTAATGTTTTACAAAATAGTTGGAATACTTACTCGTTGCATTTCTGATGTTTAAAAGCTGCTGTCGATGTTAATTTGACATAGGCTAAAATGGCTAACTGCTTATATACCTACCCGAGATTATAAAAACCGTTAACACTTTCAATTTTCCATTCAGAAGAAAGTTAACCGTTATTCAAAGTTTCCCTATTTAAATAGCACTTTATATATTAATACTTTAATAATTCGTTTTCTATTTACTAACCAAGATAACTTTTTAACCTCGTAATCAATCGTTCGAAATTTTTGTACATATAAAATTACTTTCCGCACTATTTTATTTTTTTTTATGTTCGACAAAATTGACTAATCCCTTTTTCTACAGTTGACGAACATTTACAAATGAGTGGGCTGTATCATTATTGCTGAGAAACATTTTCTATTAATATCCTAGTAGAAACAAAAAGTTATATGTAAAGCTTAATGATTATTCAGAAATCGTGAGATGTGGTCTGGTGTGACGTAGGTTTCAAAAAAGCATTTTCTTTATACTGCCAACGTTTCGATCTTTATTGAGATCATCTTCAGGCCTCAAAGTTTGTTTTCTGCGTAAGTGTGCCATTCTTGCGTGTCGAGTTGAGAGTGAAGTAATTCTTAATCCATATTTGCTTAGTGGTCATAATTGACCATAGTAATTATTCCAAATAATTATTCTTTTTATCTAAAGTTTTTAGCTGTGATGAAAATTTAGTGTATCCCGGTCGTGACACTAATTTTCCATCTCAACCAAAAGCCTTCGATAAGAAGAATAATTAATTGGAGTAATTCTTAATGTGAAACTAAACAATAAGTATATAGTAAATAGCAAATATACAAGAAGTCTTTTTCTTTCAATAAGCATCCCAGTAACTCGATAATTCGTACTGATGTGTGAATTAGGAATGATTACGAATTGCAGAAATTTTTGAAATATCGCTATTACGAATAATCCAGCGCAAAAAAGGATAAAATATGTAATAAAATAAACTAATGAAAAATTGAAGGAGTTTGAAAAATCTTAAAATGTTAACTTACAATTTAAGTGCATATTTAACAAATCTTTAAAAATTAACAAATAAATACAAAGAGAAAAGCTAAAGGCATGATTGGTTCCTACTGGCATCTAGAAACAGAAAACACACTACTGAACCTGACGAATAAGAAAATTATTCACCGAAAATTACGAATTATAAAACATTTAAATATCTTTGAAAAAGAAAACTTATACGAATAAGCGAGGATATATGTACTGGGTATTTTAGGAATAACCGCGATTTCTCCAAGACGCAAACAAAAGCCCATTTGTAATTATGTGGGGTTCGAATCCAGCGGCACTGAATTATAATTGTTATAATAAGACTTTTACGCTAATTACAAGCTTAAGTGTAGGCTTGAGTTATCTGAGGGTTCTGTTTTTACGAGGGATTTCAATACCAGGTGAACCATCGGAGTGCTGGTGTTTTTGAAAAAAGCCCATTTGTAAGTATGTCGGGTTCGAATGCAGGGCTGCTGGATTCGAACCCGGGACCTTTACCTAAAATAGTGATGAATACCGTGTCAACGACTTAACCGTTGCGGCCACCAATGCATATCATTAATGTAACAAAGCAAAAACAAAAGAAACAGAGTTGTTTGTGCCATGAGAGACTCCAGAAGTAATGGGCTGGAGAAAGAATGGGAGCTTAATTACAGTACGATTTTTAAGTTTGTTAAGTTTCAAATTGGTTTGAGTGATAATTTAAAATTATATATATTCCAACTACACATTTTTTTTACGAGGGTTCGCAACAGCAGAGGTTATATCAACCCTCGGAGTACCGGTGTTTTTTGAAAAAAAGTCCATTTGTAAGTTTGTCGGGTTCGAATGCAGGGCCGCTGGATTCGAACCCGGGACCTTTACCTTACAGTGATGAGCGCCGTGTCAACGCCTAAACCGTTGCGGCCACCGACGCCCCTACCAACTACCAACTACATATTCTAAATATAACTATATTCCCAAACCCTTACATAAATATTTCAAAATTTGCGCAATTTATGAATAAGAACAGAAAATTAATAGGTTGACTTTATTGTCTGGAGTGTAGTTCAGTTGCTGTATATTTACAAATGTATCCAAAAGTATGTGTATTTGTGTGTGTGTCTGTGTGTCTGTGTCTGTGAGTCTCTTTGAGTAAGATAGTGAGGAAGAAATTAAGAGAAAAAGATACAAGCAGAGAGGCAAAGATTGAAAGGGAAAAGTGAGTATGAGTAATATACTACATATTAGATACATAATAAAAAATTAATAACTTTGTTTAAAAAGATTTGTTATAATAGAAGAGTAAGTATAATTTACTCGGATATTCGTCTGTTTCGAAAGGTATTTCGGATTGTTCTATTGATTTTAAATAAGCACATCATTTTATTTGCAACATTGATTTTTTTTTTTTATTGTAAAAATATAAAAACAAAAATATATATTACAACTTTAATAAATAATTTATCTTATAAATACTGAAAAATTAGTAATTTTTGTATCATCGCAAATTGACGGATTTCTTCCTTCTTTTCGATTCGATTTCGTCTTCTTGTAGATCATGTTCGAACTTTCCGTCTTCCTCTGATGCGTCCAAGTCTTGAGTTGGTGTCGTGATACGTCTATTGTTTATTAGCATGTAAGGAGTATTCGCACCCGGGATCTGGACTATGTAAGCTTCCAGGTCAGATTCTGTAGTTCTAATAGACGGGTTGTAAAATGACGGCCTGGTCGATAACGTTGCAGAAAGGTTTGTGTCTATAAAATTAAAATTTCAACATTTTTATATATATATATATATATATATCAAAGTAAATTTGAAGAATTGTAGATGTTACTTTGAAGGCCGACGGTAAGAGCGTTGGTAAGACCTGTTGCGATATTCGTAATGAGAGGGCCGAGGATAGTGCCGACCAGTGGTACCAGAGCAGTACCAAGGGTGCCCAGAAGTCCTCCGGCTGGTCTCTGCCTCACTATGACAACGTCGTTTTCATCCAATTCGACCGGAATAGCCAGGGATGCACCGACGAAGGCTAACACCAACGCATAATTTCTAATCTACAAAAACAACAATTATGCTTAATAATAAAAACATTTCTTTTAAATCTTTTATGATATATGCTTGCTGCTCACTTGGACCATTCCGCGCTAATAAATTCTCCGTATGTCTTGCGTTAAACTGTGACGGACGCAAACGGAAGTCACCTTTTTATACTGACAATTTCAACATTCCGTTATGTGCTTAATAATTAAGTAAATGTCATTATGCAACAATTAGATAAATTAAAATGTCAAGTATTTAACATAAATATGCCCAAATTATTATTACAATATGAAAGTAACCTATGTTATTTTTAACCCTGTAACGACTAAAATGTGAAAGGTGCCACGATTCAGATGATAATTGTATGTAGAAACTGGAACGTTCATTTTCTTTGTAAAGATCTTCGTGAGTATAAAACAAACATTATATCTTTGAGAGTTGTAGAGCCTAAAATAAATAAAAATCTGTAATTTTCAGGCACTGTTAACAAACGTGCACTAAAATAAAACTTCAATTGTTCTTAGACTGTTAGACTTTGATCTCCTCGGTCTCTCTATGGTTGGTTCTATCTATCCAGTAAAACCAATAAAAAGGACGTACACCCGCATAAATGCACAGACCAATCGCTGAATAGGGAGGATCGGTAGACGTCACCACAATGCTTCACTCATAGAAATAATGTGAACTTGGGGTGAGTGGGTCGATTCATTTTTGTGAAGGTTTGCTCTTACAGGTTTTGTTGTTTACAACTATCCGGATCCCCTGCATATCTCTGAACCCTCCCGCCTTCTTATTTAAACATTGTCCTGAAACAATATTTGGATAACTATTATTAGGTAATTTGTAACATTGTAGTTGCGTTGACACGGCGCCGATGGTTCGAATCCAGATCCTTGCATTCTTACCAGACAAACTTACAAATGTTTGTTGTTGTTATTTTAAAATCATCGTCATCCTGAGCTTGACATGACCTCTGCTGTTGCGAACCCTCGTAAAATAATGTGGTTACAGTACTGTGTAAAGTGAACGGGCACGGAGCTGGTTTCCAAGTATCAAAAAGATGGTGTCCATAGAGGAAGTCTAAATTATGTCTTCAGAAAGAATCTTAGAGCTTTTTCAATATGTTCATATGGATTACACTACCTGGGCTCCGTACCAAACGAGTAATTCAATTGCGTTTTTTAATATAGTTAATTTGGAAACAGAATACTGCTCTCTGGCCGCGGGAGTACCGCAGGGCAGTGTGCTCGGACCAATCCTCTTCATCCTTTATACTGCAGATATTCCCACTAAACCTACCACCCTACTTGCAGCCTTCGCCGATGATACAGCCGTACTATCTTCCAATTCTGATCCTGCGGTTGCTTCGGAAGATCTGCAGGAACATATCTCATGTATAGCAGATTGGTGTAGACAATGGAAAATGAAGATAAACGAAAGCAAGAGCGTCCATGTCACATTTACACTCCGAAGCAAACCTCCTCTCACTATATACTACAATAACGTCCCCATCCCCAAATCCGACTGCGATCGCTACCTTGGGTTCCACCTAGATTCACGACTTACGTGGAATCAACATACACGACTGACACGACAAAACCTAAACAGACGGTATGGTCTACTGCACAGACTTATAGGACGACAGTCTAAACTATCGACAAAAAACAAACTTACAATTTACAAAACATTACTACAACCGATTTGGACGTACGGGATAGAACTGTGGGGAACCGCTAAACCTTCCAATATCCAACGCCTCCAATCCTTTCAATCTAAAGTCCTCAGATCCATTGTAAATGCTCCTTATTATGTCTCCAATGCTACCCTCCACAACGACCTTCAAATTCCTTATATCCAAAAATTTATTCCCCAAAAATTTACCAATTTTCACAAAAAACTTTCCCACCATCCAAATAGTCTTGCCCAAGCCCTGTCCTATAGAACCCATCCCTACAACCCCATAAGGTGTCTTAAGAGGAAATGGCCCGCGACCTCCTTTCCGAGTGTACTGTAAAAAAAAACAAAGCGAAGAGGGAGGATAGCACTGACTATTTTCTCCCCTCAATGTAAATAGTTGTACATATATAGTTGTTCATGTATCCGCAAATTACATATTGTAAATAATAATTACAGATTGTAATAAAAAATAAAAAAAATAAAAAATTTGGAAACAAACGAAATGTCAGTATTTTCCACGACTGAGGACCGTACAGCATCTGCTTGGCTACTGTGATTTTTTTTTTCGACATGTTTTGTAAAATTACATTTAGGTGTCAGTGATAGCCAAGATATTTAAATTCGTTAACCACCTCTATATACCGATTCGAGATTTTATTAGCGATAAAAATCAATTCACCCCATCTTACAATCATATCTACCATTATTTTTTATTTGATTTTATTATTTGACAAGTTTCATATTGGTAGATTTTTTACAATATATAATGTATTGTGCTTTATTTCTAGTACACGAGACCTACTGTCAATCAAAACACCTTTATGATGATCAAAATTATTATTTATTGTCTTTACGATTTTTACGTTCAACTGTGGTCAAATTTGTTTTAATTTGACTTTTAGTTGATCAAGTAGTCATTTATATTTCTGCAGAGCTAACTTTTTGGTAAAGTACGAACTAATACAAAGATAAACGTCTTCACCTTTTGTATCTTCTTTTTTTAATCATGATCAAATGTTAGTTTATTTCAAATTAAATAGTAAAACTCCGGAAAATTTTCTAATTCTGCCCTTTGCTAAAAGGAAACTGATTAGCCGTGACACGGTTAGCTTGAAGCTCCGGGTTTGTAATGGCATCATCGACATCCTTGAAAATAAGCACCTACGAAAGTTTTTTCAGCTCTCCCGGGCCAAGTAGACGCCTCGTAAACTTCCTGGTCAGAAGTGCAAGACGGCTGGCAATCGTGATTCCGACACGATGTACGGGCACGGTTGAAATCAGAAGATTACATCAACTGTTATGCACAAAATAAAATTAAAAATGCTGGAAACGATGCAGTTTTCCCATGATTGATTTTTTTTTCTTGTGTAAGTATTATTTATATGGTGGATAGTTTATGTATTTGTCGGCCGAAAAAGCTACTCGCTTCTCTTAAAGCTTTAAAAAACATCCCAGTTCTTATTTCATAATTCAAATTCTTAACTTCTTTGAGAATAATTTTTCAAAGTGTCTTGTCCTTTTATTTTTTTCCACTATTCTATTCAATTGGCATTTATCTTGTGAAATTGCAAATAGTTCGAAAATGAAACGAAAACGTATGTGATGGGTCGATTAACGGAATTTTCCTAAGCTAAAAACGGCCTTTAATGTTTGAATGTTACGATTAGAATGTCCATGAGCGGGTCGCTAATTGCATAAGGGCTTAACGACTTAATAAACATGGGTTGACGCCCTAGGAATTTGCTTTCGTCTATAGCGAACCGTCTAGCTTTTATCTCATCCTCCTTTCACTCCTTTTATCTATGGGATTTTCCCCAAAAGAATCGAAGATATTAATAAAAGTAAGTAAAGCTGGGCCCAATGTATTTGCCGTTGAATAATCTTTTTGGACGTTCTAATCCCTTACTGGTTGTCTCAAAAATCATCGCTTGTATTAGAGAAACTAAGTTTGCCGCCTCACAAAAATAGTGGGAAACCAAACTGAAAATTCATCGGTCATTTTAACAAATACAAAAAGAACAAAATATCATCAGAATCTACTATGAACTATGTCTTGATAATAACTTGATACTTTGCCAATTCTCACGGATTTCTATGCCAAACCCTTAACAGCACTTTGCCAATGTTGGAACGTTAAATGGAGATACACGGAAAACGCAGAGGCACCTATGAATTACATGGACAAAGGTTGATTCCAAAATTCATTTCATTTTTAAAAAAATGTTTTATGCGCATACTTATAAATATTTTGTTTGGCGTAGTTACTTTTTACATATTTGGGATCATAAGTTCAAGTAACACGTAAGTTTAAGGTAATGGTGAATATGATGAATAAAAATTGAAATTAACATTTCAATAAACAAATCCGAAGGAATAACATTAGAAGTCGGATAAAAACTATTTGTCCAAAACTAAATCAGTATACTTTTCTTTTCTTATTTAATGGTTAAATTAATTAAATATTTGTTAATAAACACTATTGGGTGTATTCGTTACATACCCATACAAAAACGCGAATTAAAATACTGGGAAATAATAAGCTTTCGATAAAATATGTACTTGGGGTTGTGAAAGCAACATGATTTGGCATAAATCCGTAACACTTAAGCCGACCCGTCCTGGGTCAAATCATTAAACAAGATTCCACTGGAAAAATAGTTCAAGTTCAAAGATATGTCTGTTTAGGATGTTGATGATATCAGGCCACATTTATTATTATTATTGTGAATAAATACTGTTATTTATTGTGGTCTGATGACATCGACCTCCTAAACAGAGTATTAAAACTAAGTCCACAATACCCTCCCCTCTATATCGGATCCAAAGATATGTTTTACCAAACTATTTCTACTTTCTTAACTCAAGTCTGGAAAACAAAGTACATACTACATAAAAACTGAACATTAACATGACAATGGGATTTGGAGAAGAAGCATAAAGGCGCATATTGGACAAAATAGTTGGAGAAATAGTCAAAAATCTGTAGTTTGATTCTTTTTGACATTTTGTATTGTACATCGTTGCGGTTTTCATCTGTTAGTCAAAATACATACTAAATAAAAACTCAATATTAACGTAGACAATGGGTTTTGGAGAACAAGCATAAAGGCGCATATTGGACAAAATAGTTGGAGAAATAGTGAGCACTTATAATTTGATTCTAATTGTCCCGGTTTTCATCTGTCAGCCGCCATTAGGCATTTTCTCCTTCTTCAGTTGGGTTTTTTAGTCAAATAAAGTCAATAATAGTCAAAGTTACCCTCAATTTAAAGCAAACTTACTTTGATTAACGCTGTTATAGATTAAGTTTATTACACATGAAGGGAATTTCAAATAGTTAATCTATATAAAACGGATTCGATTTAATGAAAACCACACAACGCGAAATCATCTGTCAGACCAAAACAGCAAGGATGAACAGATCAAAATGATCAGAACCTATAAAGTTACAGGCCCTGCAGCTCCCAAGATGAAATCATGCAAAAGTCAAAAAGAATAATTACTTATTACAACAAGTTTCAACAAAAGCAGCTCTTTTTTTGATCAAAACAACCAATTCGAAACAATAAAAAACCGTAAAAATTTATTTTTCAGCAATACACATACTTAATCGTAATGGAATGTTGACTTTTGTCGTCTTGTCTTTTCATCAAAGATTATGGACTTCAGGAGAGTACTTTAAGAGCCTCACCAAAGCGAATCCCGAGGGATCGTGTACTCGAGCGAAGCATGTTGTAGACGACTCATTACGAGCACTCGAGGATCGTCCTAACGAGAAGGTGTTCCGGCTTGGCCAAGAATCCGACCGAGGGTAAGCAGCTCTTTCTGAAGTACGGGAGGTGGGATTCCCAGCTTACAGTACAGGCCTAAGACTGTGATAGTACGGTATGGTGATAAGGATACTAGGAAGAAGGGTTTGTACTCCCCAGGCACTGCAACCTTCTAGCTTATTGTACCTTCCTAGTTCCTTAGTTCAGTGCAATAGACTCACTTCTTAGAAGTATCAGGTCATTGACTGTCGCTGCTACAATTTCATTCCCTAAGTTTTTTCGTATGTTAGGTTGAATCTCCATTGAGCTGTTGGTTCGCATTCGAAGATGATATGGGTGGCCTTTTTCATCCTACTTATTACATAATCTGCAGATGGGATCTTCGTTGTATATGCCCTTGTTGTGTAGATGTTTTCTCAGATGTCAGTAACCGATTAGTACTCATTCCTCTGAGTTTAGCCCTCTCCAGTTGCAGCAGTGATTTTGCCAGTCTTGGTGAGGGTTGTTTCATCATAAGTTTACTGTGTCTAGCACCGCTAGAGTTTACCCACTTTTCCTTTTGCTTCGTTTGGATTCATACTGCGATGGAGGATTCTGTTATCCCAAGTATAGGTTCGGGGCCTATGTATGGTCTTGCAGATCCTCCTCTGGCCAGTCTGTCTGCTTTCTCGTTACCCAAAATTCCTCTTTGCCCTGGCACCCAAGATATCATCAGGTTGTTGTGTTTCCCCAGGTTTTGGAAATTTTGGATGCATTCACTGACTAATTTTGATGTAATTCTTTTACATGCTAATGCTTTAATAACTGCTTGACTATGAGATCTTATGAGGATTTTTTTGTCAGTGTAACCTCTTTTAAGATTTTCCAGGGCACAAGCATTGATGGCATGTATTTCTGCTTGAAAGACCGAAGTGTACTTCCCTAATGAGTTTGAGTGCTCATGTTTTGGGCTTGTACAGTAAATGCCCGATCCGGTTCCTTCGTTTGTTTTGGGGCCATCTGTATACCATATCATTGTGTCTGATGCTCTCCTGTGTTCTTTCCTCTATAGTCCGTTGAGACTTTGTAGGATGTTGTGAAGATTGTTTCCGGGATCATATAGTCAGTCCCCATTTCAAATAATGGGTGTCTGATTTTGTTAATTATAATTGTACGCCAGAATTGTTTAATTCCTATCCAATTTAATTGTTTTTGGAGCCTAAATGAGCATTTCCTAGCCTCTCCTTATATGAATATTTCCAGTGGAGGTTTAGCAGTTTCTAGTGCACTTGTAGGGGTTGTTCTCATTGCCCCTGTGATACGTAGGTTTTGCTATTCTTTATATGCTGCGTAATGTGAGTAACTGCTTTTTGTTGAGCTTTGGTCCACCAGATTAAGACTGTGATAGTAGAGCCTATCGAGTTTCTCAGGCGCGTTTTCCGGGCCGAGGAGTAAGCATCTCCATAGAAGATACTTGAACAAAGAAGCGAGTCAAACATTTTTAACATGGTCTCCCTGTCCGCGCACCACCTAAAGTGACCAATAAATTTCAACATTGCAATGGTTTTCCTGCTCTGGAACTCGACGGTTCACGGGATTCAAGGACATTCAAAGAGACCGGGAGATCCCCCTCCATAGATAATTGTATGTTGTATGTGTAGTGTTTTGTGCACAGTGATGATGATGATGAATGGAGGATACTAGGCTCCCCTTTTGCTCCCCGGACACTACAGCCTTCTGGCTTATAATACCTTCCTCCTTCCCTAGTTCAGCGCAATCGACTCAATTATTCTTCTCAAAAGTACTAGGTTATTGACTGTCGCTGCTACAATTTCATTCCATAGGTTTGTTTCTGTATGTTGGGTTAAATCTCCATTCAGCCGTTGCTGCATCAGCAGTCTGCAGATAAGATCATTATATATGCCCATGTTATTAGATGTTTTCTCAGTTGCCAGTGACCGGTTAATGGTCCTATCCTCTTCTGAGTCTGGCCCTCTGCAACTGCAGCAGTGAGCCAGTCTTGGTGAGGTGTTTAGGGATGGTTAGGGTATATATTACGGTGTAAAGAATGAATTATTTAAAAAAATTAATTATGTAGAAAACCCACAAGTACAAACACAAGATACTAGCGGAGTCTTCTCACCCACGGACCCAAAAAGCTGCTGGTTTCATTTGGCTCATAGACCGTAAGGTTGAATTACACGTTCGTAGAGGCGGTAGCCCTAGGGTTTTTATAGTGTTAATGTACTTGTGCCTAAGGATTATTATTATTTTGTCTTTGGAGTTTAAACCAACTGATTTTATACCTTGTTTATATCAATATCATTGCACAATTGAAACATAAAAAAATCCATCATTATGTTCATCTTATTTCTTGAAGAGTCCTGTTTAATTGATTATATTATTTTCGAATCTGTTAATAGAATTTACTGTGTTGGTACATATTAACAGGTTATGACTATGATTAGTATTGTAAAAGCCAACATTTTTATACATTTACTGATTGATTTTCAAAGTTATTGCTAGTTAAATTATAGAGTCGTGACGAAACTTCCTCTGTCTATATCAGTCGAGTATCGTACTTTGGTAATACTTTTATTGCAAACCTGCATTTACCCATGGTAATACTTTGGCTTCCAGTTAGGTTAAAATGTTAATTTTGAGATCAGTCACGCAAGGTCATGAATATACTAGTTTCACCGCATCCGAACGTGAATGGTATTCTTTTCGTTGAGATGATACAGTGTGTTGGTCTTACTTTAGGCCAAAGGTCGAGACGTGGCATTTCAACTGGTATCATCCAGCACTCCCACCCGTTTCGAATCCTGTGCAAACTATGCATTTAGTCACCTGATACAAAAACCCGATGTAGGTGTGCGCCGGACTGAATTTCACCACGTTGATTTATCCGGTCTGAAAGTCATCCCGACTTCGAACGCGGCACTGTTATGAAAAATCCCCTCAGAAGAAAAATTTATTATCGTCAGATTATAAGAGGGCATAATTTAATCCCTGGGGGTTAGAGGGCAATGTTTCCACGAGTTCTTTCCACCAATACTTCCATCCTGGTAAATCGTACCATTTATATTTCGTTGCGTATCCCATTTTGGATTCCATATAAAGCGTGTCCCACTTTCGATGAAAAAGAATGAATTTACCCCAAAAAACGTTCTAAACTTCAAGCTGTCTTTGATCTGTTGTTGTAATTTTAATAATTCAGATATCGAAAAAGATCATAAGTTAAAACTTTAAATAAATAAATATTATATTTTATTGTGTCTATGCTCACTGGTTTCGTCCGACAGAAACCTTTCGGCATTTCGGCATTTTTAGCGTTTAAGACATATTCATATACATATTTGAATGACACAAAAGAAAAAGTAGAATTACCAATGCTGAAACCCGTCTGACAACTGAACCAGCTGGGATATAGAGACCTAAATGGTCGATAATGTCCAAATTACAAATTCATCAACCTGCAGACCACTTGGAGAAATCTCACAACAAATTATGTTGTTTAATATGTAATAATGTTTGGTCGTCCCTGATCCTTTTAAGCAGGTTTTGTCCGTCAGTCGAGGTTCGGCATTTTTACGATGAGAACCTATGTAAAGGACATACATACGACAAAACGCGCAGGCCAACCACTCACCACGATGTTTCACAATGATCAATAACAATAAACAAAATAAAGTTTGTTTGTTTGTTTGTTTTTTTAGAAAAATAAGAATTTACTAAATGCATTCTGGATTTTAAAATTTGAATTTTCTCTATCGAAAATGAGTTTTTTAAATAATAAAGTCCTGTATATTAACAAAGTTAAACTTATCGTTTCTTTACTTTTAAATTATGCCAGGATATGTATAAAATATCATGTTACAATAACATTTATTTACAATTTTTTCTAGTACTGTTTTACCTTTATCGTTACGAATGTCGTTTATCTTTCATAGTTTTACATTAAAATTAAATTTAAAGAAACTTAAATTTTTATATATTCTAAACTACGTGAGAAATAATTTTAGAAAACTGAAATGTTTCAAGTCTTTATGTCTAATGATAGGATTTCTGTACAATTTTTCTTGGTGTACAAATTCCCTGATATTAGTAATAACAACACATCATCATGATTAAACGCACCATTTGAAAAAACAAACAGACACATAAAACTATGTGTGTCACGTCATTTTCCATTTGTGAATTCTATTATCCTGACACATTACAGATTCACAGGTCATCCTTTAAATTTGCATAGCCGAATCCATTTCTTTCCAGGCGAACAATACAAAATGCAATATCCTCCGCATAGTGCATGCCTGTTTAATTAGACTTTATGCCCATTGGAATTATTAATAAAGGCTGGAAATACAGAAAGGCCTGAAGGGCCGACCACGCACTCTTTGTTATGAATATGTGAAATGATGATGCAATACGATGATGACCTCCACTGACACAATCTTTGACCCACAAACAAAACGTTTTACATATAACATAGCCGTCTACAACATATCACGACCTCGCCAACTGTTAGAAGTGATTCAGATTCGTTTAACAGAGACAGACATGATCGGCACTTCATGAAAACCTATAAGATGAGATATATTCTATAAGTGAAAAATAAATCCGAGCTTTAGGTAAAAATTACGTTTTTTTTACATGCAGGGTTGGGTGTGAAAAGTTTGTACTCATAAAAACTATATAATCACCAAGTTCAATAAATCATAAAATATTTTAAAAAATTTCACGGCTGATCTTGGCAATTTTATGTGTTAAATATGGATTTAATAAGAAATTAGGACTTATTTTGTTCTCTCAACAAGTCATAGCAACATTTACCCTAATTGCTTTCTTAGTTATTTTTGTAATGACCAAAGTTTATGCAAAAGTTTCAATATGTACTAAATTAACAATCTGTAATTAAGAAAATATTAGTTAATTTATTTTCTATTATAAAATTTCTAATGTTTACCTATGATGATGATGATGGATACTAGGAAGTGAGGTGTATTGTACTTTCCTAGTTCCCTAGTTCAGTGCAATCAACGCAATCCTTCAGAGGTTTTTTTTGTTTTCTAGGTTATGTCTTCATTGATTTGAAAATGATATGGGTAGCTGTTTCTTCCTTCTCATTGCATAAGCTGCAAATGGGATCATCGGTGAATATAGGTAGATGTTTTCTCAGATGCCAATGAACGTTAATAGTCCTAACACTCCTCTCAGTCTGGCCCTCTCCAACCGTAACACCACTTCCATAACTTCTCCTGAGAAAATGTTGCGGGGATATATCGCTTTCCTGTTCTTTTCCAAACCCTCTCTCGGCCAGCAGAAGACCTCAAACAAAACCTTGACTCATTCAAAAACCAGTTTTTAGTCCAATCTAGGGCAATTGATGAGATTTCTTAGAAAACTTAACCAAGCTGTTTTTTGCCTTGTCAGACGTCCTGGACCAGTAGTAGGCCTTCTCGCGCGTAATCCAGCTTCTGAAAGTCTTCATCTAACAGTGTGTAAACTGACATTAACATTTCTAAGTAGTTGGAAGTCGTCACTTGATCTCAACAACGGTAGAATGATTATAAGTAGAATACTACCATACTCAATTACAGAGTATATTCAAAGCAATAAAATGATCATCTTGGTAGTGATGGAAGATCCTTTGGACAGTTGTTCTTGGAATGTTAAGTACTGCTTGACTTATTCCATCTTCCAACAATGCTCTGATTCTAGCTGAATCTGTATCACTTAAAGCCATTACTCATACAAATTTGAAACTTTAAAAGGCTACAACAATAAAACCTCCGGAATGTTAGAAAGAAGCTTTACAGACCAGCAAAGAAGATTTATTTACAAAATCCAACTGTAAACACAAATGGGAGATTTTTTCTATGTTTTATTTACCTCTAATCCTTTAAAAAGGACCAAATATTGTTGTAAGATAATTAATGATTATTCAGATATTGTGAGATCCGGTCTGGTGTGATGTAGGTTTTAGAAAAACATTTTCTTTATCGTGCCAATATTTCGGTTTTTATTGAGATCATCTTCAGGGCCTGGGACGATCGAATAATCATTGACTAACGGTCACTAAACACTACACATTTCTACAAGATAATTAATGTTGGAATGTCCAAAATCAAATTGAAAATATTAAAGGTGGAGCAAAAATTATTGCCTGCGATATGAAGGGTATAAACACTTCAAGTCTGAATACAGATCAGTACATGGACCCCTCTTGGGGAGCCGAAGGCAAAATGTCCAAAACAATGCATTAAATGTTTAAAGTTATCAAATTGCTCAATAAGGGCGTCATGGAGCTGGTGGAAGATGGAACAACAGGAGAAGATGACCGAGAACAATCCTGAGGTTTTTTGATGGTGTAGCAGAAGAACATTAGGTGATTGAAAATGGTAAACAGAAGGATAGGAAGTTGGTAAGGATTGGAGGAAGGAACTATCCAAACACCAGCCTTTCAGCCCATTTTAAGCCGCCCAGGAGCTAGTAAAATTCTTACAATTGGAACTTGCAAGTCATAAGATGGGAAGGAAAGGTAAATTTGAGAGTCATCTACATAAAGGTGATGGAAGCAATTTATGCATTTAGGGCAGTCATTATTATTTTTATTTTATATTTTAATTGGGTTTGCAACAGTAGACATCAAATGGATGGAGAGAGTGCCGGGGTTTTGGAAACAAAAGCCCATTCTCAGGGCGACTGAGATATTAACCTGGGATCCTTAACAGTGATGTCTGAATTTTCCATTGCAACCATCAGTGCATATCATTAATGTAACAAAAACAAGGAAGCAGAGGTGCTTGGGCCATGAGGGACTCCAGAAGTGATGGACTAGGGAAAGAATGTACTTTATCTGGGATAGAGTCTGATAGGAACGATTGAAACCAGTGGAGGACACACAAAATACAATCAGGAAGGTGACTCAAGCCCAAATGGTGAAAGGTTTCGAGTAAAACCTGTTGATGTCAACCTGCATTTTGAGTTGTCAGGAAAATGATGTAGGTTTATGGTTAGAAAATGAAAACAACTAAATAAATTATTTAAAACATTTTTTCTTAATTAAAATACCCCCATCACTCTCAATACACTTTTCCCAATGTGATGACAACTTCTCTGAATAGGATTTTGGGTCTTTACATCAAATTCTGTAAACGCATTTTCTAACAACTTTTGATCAATAAATTTTTTATATTGTAAAACGTTGCCCAGGTACCTCTCTAAATTTTTTTCTGCCATTGCCCCAGACTTCATTAATGTTATTGGCCATTTGGGCATCATTCCGAACAAGTTTAAACTCATAAAACGAAATTATGCAAAAATCATATGTTGATATCTTACTAAAGACTGAATTATTCCCAAGCGATGATATGAAATCTTGCTGAGGTAAACAACCATTTTTGTTTCAAAAAGGTTAAAAAGTGTTGGCATTTGTACAAAAGAATAATCATTCAAACAAAAACAGTTTAATATACAGAGGGGTAATTGAAAGAAAATATGAAAACCTGCATTATTTTCTGGTCAACCCAATACATAGTCAACAAACATATAAAGTAAATTAATTCTACTTTTTATCTAAGGTCTTAATTGAGATGAAAAAGCTAGTGTCACGAGTGGGATTCGAACCCATGAACATTGTCTCAATACACCACTGCTCTAACCACTTGAACTACGTGACTTTGTCTCAATACACCACTGCTCTAACCACTTGAACTACGTGACTTTGTCTCAATACACCACTGCTCTAACCACTTGAACTACGTGACTTTGATCTGCTCGACCTCCAACTCCTCATCTCAACCTACACCTTTTTAATTTTCCCTCTTTTTGCTATATTGCAAATGTCATTTAATCATGATTCGATTTCATACTAAACTAATAATGATACAAAATGGCTCTCTGTAGACTTAGGATCGGACATACTAGACTGACCCATGGCCATCTCATGGCAGGGAATCACCACCTATCTGCACGGTATGTAATGAGGAATTGACGATAAAACACATACTTACCACATGTTACTGTCATATCACACAAAGAACAGAATTCGAACTGTATGAGATGCTGGGCAATAGTGTCTCTCTTTAAATTTCTAGAAAGAACAGAGCTGATAAAAGAAATAGTAAAGTAGAATTGAGATCGATGGGAGGGGGGCTTGAGGACTTGTGTGTGGGGGTGCTCTTTTGTGGATGGTTCGGTGGGGATGCTTGGCAGATCAGATGGGTAAGCACCTCGGGCAGGTTTGGCCCCGGGTCTGTTGGGAGGGGGGATGTGGACTTTTCCATAATGCAACAAATGTGATGTAAATGGTTTTGGTCCGCATCCTACAAAAAATGCCCATATTATAAGAGAGGACGAATCCTCAAAAAGACGAGTGCTTGCACATCCTACTGATGGCAGCGATGGCTGTCTCTTTGGATGTTGTTCCCTGGCAGGCCCTTCCTTTCCTTCTTCACATTCAATATCTGACAGTGATACCAACTTTTAATTAAATATCAAGAAGCCGGCCTAAATGACCCATAGTGGTTGAAGGCCATTTAATAATAATAATAATAAATATATTAATGACAGACAGACTAACATTGTATGCAACTTTATTCCACAACCAAATCCATTATGAACATAATCGTGTGTTTATAATCATTTTCTTATACCGGTCTATCTTCAAATTTCGTTTCTTATTTGGAAATTTAAACCACAGAATGTTTAATCATGGGGTCAATAAGGATTTTAGGAAGCTTGGACTCGGGTAATAAATAGCCATTTTTATTAACTATTAAAACCCATCACACAAACAAAAATGCCAAATTGTACAAATTTAATTCCAGTGCAAAATTTGTTTCAGATTATTTAAAATAAATCTAGCCAACAGCAATTTAGCTCAAACTTGATTTAAAAAATTAATTAATTACAAACAAGCCAAAGTGGAAATGTAAAGTAGCTTATTCAAGACAATAAAAGGCAAAAGATTAAATAGATCATTCAAAAATAAAATATAACAAGTTTATTTTTGTTCATCTCAGGAGTATATAATACAGGGGAATGTGAAAAATAAGTAGAAAAAGTATCTTCTTCTTCAATTTTGTTGAATGCTGTAATGTTTTGAAACAAGACTGAGCAATTATCCTACTACGATTTTATACTGAAGACCATTTCCACAAATTGTTCATAATGTAGTTGAATAATACCATCCATATCTGTGTCGTATTTTTTAAAAGAATCAGTCAGCGTCTGTACAAAAAAAAAAATTATTAAAACATATATAACAGATAATATTAGGTTTAATTGAAATTATACTCACATGTAAAAGCACACAGCACTGAATAAAATCGTCGAAGAGGATTGTACCTTTACCGAACCTGTCAAATTTGGCTACTATCGTGTCAACAGTAGCGACTGAAAGACGGTAGCCAAAAGTGTTGAGGGCAGACGTTAGCTCGCTTTTATCTATGTTGCCAGATCCATCTCGATCAAAAGAACGGAAGCAATTCTGCCAGTCAGTGACATAACGCCACAGTGCACCGAAATCTTCAAAGTTAATCGTTCCTTTCTTATGTTTATCAAACATACCTAAAGACAAATATTTATACAAAATATTTTTTTTACATAATATTTCTGTTATTTAAAAAATACATTCATAAGTGTTGAATGTAATTATGTATATGGGGCATTCTGTGACCTTCAATTAAATGAAGCAACATGGTAAAAAATTGTCCATATGATCCCCTTAGGGATGGAATTTCAAAAAATACATTCTTAGCAACTATCCATGTCATTACAGGAATGTGCTGTCAAAATTTTAGCCCTTTAGATCCAGCGGTTTGATATGACAGATATGAAAACACAAGGAAAAAAAAATAGATCCAGCGGTTTAGTATGAAACTGTTTTATATATAGAATGTTTTATTATTATTATAATTATTATTATACTATGTTTATAACACTAAATTTATTTCTAAGATAGGTAGGGGTACAAAGGGTACATGTACTAGTTTTTTTAAAGGCAAAAAACCACTGAGGTTCATTCACTGCCTTGAAAGTAAGTTGTTAGCCGCAAAACATGGGAGTCATCTCCCTGGCGACTTCTGGCTTTCTATATAACATTTGAATGTGAAAAATTATATTTTGTCTATTAGGCAGGATTCATAGAGGAATCCAAATAGTTTCTCGATGTTGTCACCTAGTATTGTTTTTATATTATTTGTGAGTTTGAATCTATTTCTTAGGTCTGTGTATTTTTTGCATGTTATTAAAACATGTTTAACATTGATTATTTTTCTGCAATCTGGACACACTGAAGCAGCTCCCGGGACATCAAGTGACCATGCACACAATATTAATAGTGCCCTATCTTCAATCTAGCCTGGGTTTTCGTAAGGATGTGTCCCACTCTTTGACAGAATCCTTAATTTCCCAAAGTTTGTTATTTGCCCCTCAATTTCCCATTGTGACCATATAACTTTTTTTAGACAATGAATTAAAATCTTCATCAGGTACTTCAATTATTTTATGTCCTTCTGTTATAGCTTTCATTGCTGCGCCGTCAGCTTCTTCATTCCCGATCATGCCACTATGACCCGGCATGCATAAGAAGCACACGGACTGATTTTTAAATTTGTTTGGTATCATAAAAAGAATATCTTGTACTTTAGGATTGGTCATGATGAGGTTTTTAAGGGTGCAGATGGCAGAGAGAGAATCGGAACAAACTATTACATCAGGGGACTTGTAGTCTCCCACGCTGAGACATTTATTTATGGCTAGTAGTTAAGCTGTAAAATTACTACAGACAGTTGGCAAAGAAAGTTGTTACAGACAAACGTGGCACCAAAGCCATCATTTTCTTTTGACCCATCTGTAAATACTAAATTACGCAGAAAACAAACACTTTGAGTGAGTAGAAATACTTTGATTGAATATAAAAAATATTTTTTTGCATTGTATAAATTAACCTTTTTATCCTACATGTATTTGATAAATTTAATGTTTGTAAATCCCAGGCCCTGAAGATGATTTCAATAAAAATCGAACGTTGGCACGATAAAGAAAATGTTGTTTGAAACCTACATCACACCAGACCGCCGCATCTCACGATTTCCGAATAATCATTGACTAATGGTTACTAATCTCCACATGTAAATACTAAAGTTGAGCCCTTATAAGAGCTTATTAATTTAAAGAATTCTCTATACACGTAGACTCTATAAATATATGAGTACCTTTACAATAAATTTAAAAAACATCTTCACTTTGGTTAATGAGTTTGCTGTTAAACTACTGACAAGAACTTTGTTTGAAGAATTTGCAAACCATTTAGCATGATTTCACAAGTTTATTGTTGAAATTCAATCTGTCAATGCTAAATTTAATATTACAATGATCTAAATAGACAATTTTAGAATGTGTGGTGATTAGTGACCGTTAATCGATAATTATTCAGAAATCGTGACATGCGGTCTGGTGTGATGTAGGTTTCAGAAAAACATTTTCTTTATCGTGCCAACGTTTCGATCTTTATTGAGATCATCTTCAGGGCCNCAATTACACAGAAGACAAACACTTTGAGCCCTGAAGATGATCTCAATAAAGATCGAAACGTTGGCACGATAAAGAAAATGTTTTTCTGAAACCTACATCAGAAAAACCTACCAGACCGCATCTCACGATTTCTGAACAATTTTAGAATGTTTTCTCTTATAAAATAGCACAAAATTGTTTTTTACCTATCATAAGCCTGACTGTCTCCGGATTGAAAGGAGCCCACGTGCCGTTGGAAAGAGCCTGTTGAAGTTCTGTTGAAGATATATTTCCACTCCGGTCCTTGTCAACCCTGAAAGGACACAAAGAAAAAAATATTTAAAACCGAATTCTACAAAAAAAAAGTAGAAATAAAAAGGAATCAACTTACTTTTGAAAAATATCCCAGAGGAACTGTTGATTCTGTTGCTGGTATTGGGCCATTTCTGTTGTTTTTCTGTCCACAATTCAGTCTTTCCAATCCGAGAGACGAAACCACAAAAACAGGACGCCAAAATGGTACAAAGATTGAAATTAACCTTCTCTTAATGGGTTGACTCTTGACGTTAATACACGTCAGATTTCTATTCTAAGACACGTCATTCTTGGAAAAAGTTATTACAAACAGATATCCTTACTGACCCTCTTATTACGCATTGCACAATGCACAAATGACTAACGGTGACTAATGATTACTGACCGACATAATTATATCCATACAACACTAAAAACCAACTAATAGTGGACACATAATATTTATCAGCTTTATTTATTAAAATTTCCAGTGCCAGCAGGAATTCCCACAACTGGATAGTCAACATAGCATACTATATATCTACAGTTCTCCCCAGTACCCAGAAGAGGCACTTTAATTGATCTTTTAAAGGTGCCAAGACTCCGTGACCAAATCTGTCTCGTTATTCATTGAAAACGTTGGCTGTTTGGTGGGTGGTAGCTGACTGAACATATCTAGTTTGTTTGGTAGGTGGTAGCTGACTGAACATATCTAGTTTGTTTGGTGGGTGGTAGCTGACTGAACATATCTAGTTTGTTTGGTGGGTGGTAGCTGACTGAACATATCTAGTATGTTTGGTGGGTGGTAGCTGACTGAACATATCTAGTTTGTTTGGTGGGTGGTAATGTAAGGTTTGACTTCTGACATTTCTATTAAGCACAGTAATATTAAAGGAAGAAAGGATATCAGGAGCATCAATGGTATTATGAAAGATTTTCCATACAAAACAATACTGACTAGAATTCATGGTATTTTCTTTATGGTAACGAGACGAGGCCTAATAAGATAACCTCACATATTATGAAGTAGTACTTTAGATTTATAATCTGAATACTTAACCTTTTTAAAGGGTTTTTGAGGGTTGATCCTCCACTGAGACATCACTGATCCTCCCTATAGCTTACAACCATACTTTGGAAAGTGCTATTCCTTATCAAACTGAGCACTTTCCTTGGTGCCTCTTTGTGAAACTCCTTGGGTATGAGAAACATTCAATGCATTGTGGCTGTGCCGTAAATATTCTGATGCTTTACAGTCACAGTGATATGTGCCGATGTCTCTGGTTTCTCCTGACAGAGCTGGCAGGTTTTTGTCTCATCCTTGCCCATCTTCTTAAGGTGATAGATAGTGGCCAGTATAGAGGGCTATAATTCTCCTCAAATCCTGCCTACTAAGAGAGTTGTTCTTTCACCTTCCATTTTGAGATTTCTCAGCTCGCCTCATACCTAGTGTTTGAATTTTTCTTTCTCAATCCATTTTACAATTACCATTTTATAATAGATAGATTAATACTGTATTTCAGCAATAGCTACTACAGGGGGGAGCCAAATGGCAAAATAAATATATATACATCATTAAAGATATCTTCCAACTTAAATTGACATGACACTGTTTACAAAAGTAACTAATAATAATAATAATAATAATAATAATAATAATAATTACATGGCACTTAACTTATAATTACAAAATTATACGATGCAGCAATAAAACATCATTCATTTACAATAAAAGCTCTCAATTTAAGTGCTTCATAAACAAAATTGAACACATCAATTGCCTGGTTTCTTGCTTCAAATTTTAGCAAGAACTCAAGTTTTTCTAAATTGTTACTATTTACACCTGTATCTATGTACTTCTTTAAATAAAAGGATCTTCGCGGTTGGTAAACTGGACAATTTAAAAATATATGTTCCAAGTTCTCCTCTTCAAACAATTTACACAAAGAGCACATTGATTGTGTGTCAATTACATATTTGAGCCCATTTACAAAAAAATTGATTTCCTTAGCACTAGACAGCCTTAGTTGTATCTTTGCTATTTATTGACAAATTTAGTTGTAAATAATTTTCATATTTGTACAAGGAGCTGATTTTTCTATAAAAAGGGTTAAATTTTGAGTTTAGCATCTTTTCTATGTCTATTGAGTAAAGATTATTTTTCCACTTCGACAAAATACTTTCTTTTTCGCATTTTAGACGTTCAGGGTCGTAAACATCTTGTTACAACCTATACCAATCAGTAACTTTTGCAATTGAAAGAACCAGTCCCTATAATTTACTTCTAAATCACATGCTGATGAATGAACTGCACGGCCATTTTATAGTACAAAAATATATTTATTATTATGCAGAATGTTTCTTGGTAGTAAAACCTGTATGCTATCTAGTGTTATATGTATTACACATGTGTTGTGAGATTAAACAGATAATGCCACTGTCTTTGTAATATTTTTGTTCATGGACTATTGTTCTTAACATACCAAAAAGGAAGGAAAATTCAAAAGGTGAGGTTGGGATGGGAAGTTAGTGTCCGAGTGGATCGAAGTCACGATAGCTCAAGTGGAAAAGCAGCAGCGTATTTAGCCAAAGGTTGTGGGTTCGAATCCCGCTTGTGACACTGACTTTTTTTATCCCAACCAATACCTTAAACAGTTAAGAGTTCTTAACATATTTTTAATGTACACTTCATCTTTGAACAATTGGTATTCAGTAGCAATTGCAGTGAGACTATTGTAGGTTTGGACAAACATTAGTCGTTTTACATACATATTCTTTTAAATGTATAGTAAAAAGTTTTTGCAAGCACCATTCCCTTGTTTTGCTTGACAAAAACATGTATATTATCAATGTTGTTTAGGCTACATGAATATCTGTTAGTATATTTCTCCATCACAAACAGGGTTAGGTTAGGTTATTAGTTGTTGGCCTCCCATATTTTTCCTACCAATGTTAGTCTATTTTACAATTTACAATATTGTCTAGCGCTCTTTATTAAGCTTAAGATTTTTACAATCCCATATTTTTCTTAAGAGCAACTGATATCCTCCAGGTCTTGGTTCTTCCTCAACCAAGAGAAGTTATCTATGCCTTCATACCAACAGAGGACATGATGCACCGTTTCTTCTTCTTGACAATATCTGCACATTGGTGTTTCTCTAATACACATGCCTCCAAAGTTTGCAATGTCTAGTCAGAAGTTCATTAATTTTTTAGATGTCCTTTAATGAACGTTTGTGCATATTTCCATGCTGGAAAGCGTTCTCATCGAACCAAGGACTTATTCTTAACCCAGTGTGATGGTTTGGCATGCCATAGTAGGGTTCAGAGCTGATAGGCATCCTGACTGAACTTTCCTTGGCCAACTTTCTGCATCCTCATTGCCCCTCTGCCCTTTATGTCCTGGTACCCATTACCTGACAGCACTTTAATGCAATCCCAAATGATTCAGGGTCAAGACCAAATTGTAGGTTCATCATCCCGCAGCCATATGAAGAAATCTCGCAACTTGTGTATGTTGTTGAAGATTCCTCTGAATGATTTCTAAGTGTTTGAAAAAATATTGAACTGTTATATTACATATTATCAGTTGTGAAATTTTGTCGTTTTTAATCACTTAGGGATTTAAAAGATGAACTAGAGGGGCATCGGTGACTGCGACAGTTAAAGCGTTAACACAACACTCATTACCGTAGGATAAAGGTCCCAGATTTGAATTCAGCAGCCATGAATTCACGCCCAACATATGTAAAAATGAGCTTTTTTAAAAACAATTAAGGTTTTTAGTTGAGATAAAAAAGTCAATGGCACGAGCGGGATTCGAACCCACGATCTTCGGCTAGATACGCCGCTGCTCTACCACTTGAGCTATTGTGACCTCGATCCACTTGGACACTAACTTCCCATCTCAACCCCACCTTTTGAATTTTCCCTCCTTTTTGCCATTTTTTTAAAAACACGCACCCCAGGGGTAAAATGTCTCAAGTTGCTCACCTCCATACAAGAAAAAAAAATTATATAATACTCCTTATTAATAAGTTAGATTTTACACTTTTAACTTAGGTTTGTTGAGAGATTTGGTACTTCTAAATATTACCAAATGACAAAACATGACTGACAGTCCAAAATCATGAGAGTAGTCAGGCCATAATGTTTGGGTTCATAACACGTCTTTTTTAAATTTTACTGAATACTTAATGCTAAATCCTTTAAAAAAACCGTTTTCATCAAACTGATATTAGAATTGTACGCTTGGACAAACAATACTTTCACCCATTAATATTTAAGTACATATTAACATGTAAAGTTATTAATACTTGACTTTTAATTAATTCTAAATATTTGTGGAGCACTTCATCTTCATCCAAAATCAAAAAATGTCAATAGGGCCTTAAGAAAAAACAAAAACAAGATACGATCAAATTATTTTTATTCTTGTTTGTCATATTATCTAACACAACTATTTTTTTAATCATATATTAATTCTTAAAATGTATTAAGTATTTCTATAATAACCATAATAATAACCATATTTTTGTTAAAAATCTGTATTGAAGATACTTTAAAAGACAGAAAATATTTCGTTCATTTAGTACCTAGTGTGGTAAGACAGTTACTTTTGAATATTTACACTGCTTTTAATTATAAAATAATTAAAGAAAATTAACATTAAAAAAATTATTGGAGCATTTTTTTTCTCAAAATTAACCCATGATAGTAATGCTTTATACAAAGTGCATAAATGGGGAGGGGGGACTTCATAAATACATGGTGTTTTTTTGTCAGTGAGACTGGCAATTGTAACTATATATACACATAATATACTAAAATGACACTTTAGCTTTTAATTTAATTATCAATTTTTTTTACAAATTTGACAGAAAATACTTAAAATTATTGCTACAAAAATGAAAATTCTTAAGCTTTGTTTTCTGTTTAATTACCCCCAAAGAAAAAGTTGCGACGGACATTCTTTTATAATCTCTAATTTACAGGGATGTTTTATTTATACAATTTGGTCACTGGCTTGGTATAGTAAAAATCTATTCCTTTTTCTTGACTTATAATATGCAACTGGCTAATAAGGCGGAAATAAAATTATAATAAATTATCTACTGCTCCTAGAAAATAATTAAAAACAAATATTACACAAATTTATAAAGCTATATCTAAAATCTGATATACTTTGCTTTGTAAATATTACTTATTAAACTACCTTTTTTACATTGAGATGATGTTTAAAAAAAAAAAGAAAAAAAGCTTTTTGTTTTTTCTTACTGCTTGAGCATTGAGGTATACTTTTAATAAAAATTGTGTTTCATATTTATACACATTTTCATTATTTTTTTTATAAACTAAAATGGAAAATACATGGTTAACCTTATCAGCCATTTTTTTTTACCATTCTATTTAGAAGCAAATAGTAAAAAGCTTTTATTTTTGTTTACTTCATGCTAAAAAGAGAGAATTGTCAAATAATAAAAAGCAAAGTGAGCCTTCTGATGGATTTCATTACAAATATTACATCTGTTTTGGTACCAACAGGAACAGCTTTCTAATTTCCCTATGGGAATGAAAATTTACTTCATTAAGTGTCGCTGTGCATAGGTAATTTTCAATATCAATTGTAAACCTAGTTTAGGAAGAAAAACTATAACTTGAGTGTATATACATTACATCTAACAAGACCCGTTTAAATTTTAGTACTCAAAACAAAATTGATATGTCTGAATGTTTATTTTGGTGACAAGGTGTACTGTTGGTGTTTAATGTATTTTATTTACAAATTATAATCCGACTAGCAAATATTTAAAACAGTTTTTGGATATGTAACTAATTTTTATATTAACATTTTTATATGCAATGGAATTAAGGATCTTATAAAAGATTTATGAGAATTTTGCCATTGAATGCACACATTACACACTCAGTTAAAAAGCAGTGCTTTGTTTAATCCATCAAAACACTCTCACTCTGCTGTATAAAATAAAAAGGAAAAATTATACATATTCACACATATATATGTATATATATTGTTTGTAATGAATCTTCTATTTTTCAAGTAAATATTCTGTATATTATGTGTATCTTATCATTATAATTAATTTTGTACAATTATTAACATTTCTCAAAAATGAAACATTTGCCTACGTCGAAATTTTTTTTAAATTTTATTATTTTTTTTTTTAGATACAAAAAGGCAATCCAAATATATTCAAAATCATAACAAATAAAAATATATAATAATAAATATTGCTGTTATAATAATAAAGAAAATATAATTTCAAATTCAAAACAATACCTCTGAATTGAATGTATATAAAACATATAAGAAAAACAAGAACATCACTCATTAAAAAAAAAATTAAATATAACAAAAATTGAAGGAAACACAAGCTTTCAAGGAACTCATAATGGAGGAAAAAACCTTGTGATGTAATTTTCTTTTTTTTTAACAGTGCAAAAATGAAAAAGAAACAGAAAGAAAATCCTCACAAAGTTTGTCACATACACTGTAATGTAATGTGTGTAATAAAAACTTGTGAATCAATCAATTTTATCATTAACTTCTACACGGTTCGCATTTAAATCTTATTAAAATTTCAGTTATTCTTGTTTTCCTTTATAAAGGACAGTCGAGCAAAAAACTTACGAGTGATTGTAGAAAAACGTTTTTATATTTACAATTACAATCACTACTATAGGATCCACTAGGTTTTTATCTTATTTTTTTCTCTTCTTTTAAGATAGGAATCAGTTTTTGTTTGTTCATACATTTCTTATGTATACATTTCATTTTTTTAATTGGGAAGTCAAAAAATTTGAAAAGCCACTTTTATAAGTTTTTTAAAAAGTTTTTTCTTAATTTATCTGTTAAAGAATTTTTTTTAAAAGAAACTTTACAATTATTTAAGCCGATTTGCACTTCTGTGCATTTTGCTGTGCAATTGTGCCCCTAAAGGGCCTACAGCAATGGTTCAGATTGCTATTAATCCCTCAATTTCATCTTAAGAACGCTTAGTCAATTTTTTTTTTAAATTATACTTAAGAACGAAGAAAATTTCCTATAATCACACTTACTTTTTTATGTCAAGGGCTTTAAAAAAAAAAAAAAAATCAATTCACCTTAACAATTTAAATTTAAAAAATAATTAAAACCACATAAATTCACATATAAATAGGTGTTTTGTAAATATATATATATTTTTTATATACGAATGTATATATAAAACAACAGTCTACAAATCCATTCTTATTCTTAAACAGATCTGTAAACATTTAGGTTTTTGTTTTAAAAACAATTAAAATGTGACATCTAATAATAATTGTTTCACAGTATTTTTATTTTAACTTTTTTCTTCTTAAATATATATACATATACATATACTACTTATGTACATATAAATATATATATATTTATTTAAAGGGGAAGGTCTGTACAAAATGAGGCTATGTTTGGTTACCACCACTAGCTCGTTGCATCATTGTGACAGCTTGAAGATCACGCCAACTACAACAAAATACATTTTGAAAATAAATGGTACTTCCTTCTTTTTAATTCATGGGGAAGAAATAATAACAAATATGAGATGAATGGTTCAGGTTGAAACATTTTTCTACTTTTGCATTCATAAGGAAATTATAACAAGCAATTCACAGGATATAAAACATATTTTATGATATAAAAATATGCCTGAAAAAGCTTCATTTCTACCACAAGGAAGTTTTCTAAACCGGTCTGCTCTACAATTACGAAAACCTCTTTCTTTTTTTTTTTGTTCATATTGCAAAAACAAATAATAAGCAAGTGTTTTATTCCTATACAACTTATTTGAATGTTTTATGTTTTCACAATTTTTTTTAGAAAAAGAAGTATATATTTTTATTTGATTTTAAACAGGAAAAATATTTTATAAATTGATGTTGTTTTTCTTGTTGTTGCTTCTTCTTTTGTAAAGGTAGGGCGGTTTTCCTTATGTTGTATAAAATACAACATATTTTATTAAAATTATTTTTTTAACCTTCATCCAATCGCAGACCGCAGATTGGCCACATTTTTTTCATTTTGGCGCGCACTACCCCCTAAAGTGCTGAGAATGGCTGACGAATGGCAGGTATTCTCAGGTATTGTTTTTTTTTCCACTAATGGGTTTCAAAATTGACAGATGTTGATTTGATGGCCTAAGTACCGTCTCATGAATGCAAACGGAAATATTTTTACAACACTTGAATAAAGATTCAATTACATGTCATGTTTCTTTATTATTCGCTATTATTTTCAATTATTAATGTCTTTAATCAACAAGTGTATGTACATCAATTTGTGTATAGTAATGTATATTGTATTGTATTGTATTTGTATTGTACATACAAAAAATCCAAATTTTTGATCAGAAATAAAAATTCAGTGACAGGTGGCTACAACTTAGGATGCCAATATGACAAAACGTTGATTTGTATGACTCTGAAGAAGAAAGCTGTTGTGATCCTGTCGGTCATCCACTATGCTGATACAATTGAGGGTGTCAAAAAAACTACTCATGTCATCGACTACAATTTTACTTCTTTTTTTTTTAATTGGAACAACACAAAAATAAAAAGAAACTTGAGGATCTGAAAATTAATAACACATTTTCATTCCTTAGAGTTTCCTATTTTATTACAACTTTATTTTCTTACTTAGTACTTGCAAGTTTTGGAGTTTTATTTTAATTATCTGTGATTTTTGTAGTTACCCAATAATTTTTTTTGATAAAAATGTGCTTGTGAAATTGTGTTAGAATAAATTTATCCTAATTATTATGATGCGCGACAAGAAACGATCATACTGCCATCCAAGCGAGTGGGAACGGGATACCAGACAGTGCGAGCAGATGAAGGTTAATTTAAGAAAAAAGACTGCAACGCTTTTGGGGCTCTGTTTCTCTGAAGCAGCTTTTTTTGATACTGGTATTTGTCATAAATTAAAGGAACCCCAAAATATATTGCAATCCTTTTTTAAATACAGAATTATTATAAAATATGCTTAATAAAATGCAAGATAAACAAAACCACCCTACATTTACATATTAGCATGTTTAGGTAAAAACAATTAATCATCAAGCAGGAAGATTTCTTTTTCAATTGACAAAAAAACACATTAAAAAAATAAACAATTAGCATCAATCAATAAAAAAATAATCTGTTATCCTCAATAGAAACTTTTTATCCAAATTAGCTTTATAATTTGTGATTTACATTTAACCTAGATATATCTTTAAAATTTTAAATCATGTTAAGAATCCAAATTGACATAAATAAAAATTATTCTAGCTGGTTTTTCTCCTAAAAAATATTAAATACCGCTTACACGTTCGCCACACTTACTGGAAATTATATGAAAAAAAAATTATACGGTACTATTCAAAGAAATTATTTATTCACCTTTAGTTACTTAGGAATACATAGAATTGCAATACTCTGTATGCCAAAACTTTTTTTCAAAACATTAGTTAGGCGGTCAATAGGATTCGCATTCACTCGTTCAACACGATTCCGAAGAACAATTTATATAATGTTTTTCAATTAATTAATCTTTATATAAGGTATTGGTTGAGATAAAAAAGTCAAGTCTCACAAGCGGGATTCAAACCCAAGACCCTTGGCTAAAAACGCCGCTAAAAGGTTTTAGTTGAGATAAAAAAGTCAGTGTCATGAGCGGGATTCGAACCCACGACCCTTGGCTAAAAATGCCGCTGCTCTACCACTTGAGCTATCATGAATTCAATCCACTCGGGAACAAACTTCTCATCTCAACCCCACCTTTTGAATTTTCCCTCCTTTTTGCAATTTTTCAATTTTATCTCAACCAATACCTTATATAAAGATTAATTAATTGAAAAACGCTATTCGGTCAATTGGACCACAAACTATAACGAATTTGTGTAATGTTATCAATAGTAATCTTTTCTGTATTTCAAATGCAGTAGTTTTTTTTCTCTGTGTGTAATGAGAAATCTTCTAAAGTGAAACCCTTCTACAATGAACAAGCAAGTGGAAAGTGTTTTTGACTGTAAATGAGGGGTGGCCATTCATGAGAGGGTAATTTTAACAAATTAAGAAAAATTCTAACAAAGACAAAATGTGTATATAATACTATATATTTTTTCAATGATTGTATTGCAAAGATAAAATATATTTATTATTATATAACATATATATTCAGTTTTTTACACTTATATAGTCATATTATGCTTGCACATTATTCTGCATGGGGGAGGGATAAGCTTCACCAATCGGTATCAATTGAGTTCGAGCAGAAGGGCAACAATTTTTGTTTGCCACCAAGGAGGAGAAACTTTCAATGATACAAAGTAAAATTATTTTGCAAAAAATAATTTTAAAAAAAGGCAGTCAAAACTTGAACAATTCCTCCGTTAAAGAGAAATGTTTTAACAGGCCTTACGAAGAAAATTATGCATGTACTTTGGAACTTTGCTAAAAAGGTATAAGTTAGAAAAGGACTAATTTGTTAAAAGTTGTACCAACACGAAATTTAAAGAAAAAACTTCTTTATTGTTTCTCAGTAAAACGATTTTTTGTGCCTACCTTCTTAAAACTTTTTTTACATTAATAAAAATTCAACTGATACTAACAATTTATTTATTTAACTTTACATTAAGAACAATAACTCAATAAGTTTGTACATATTTTCGGTTTATAACCATAAAAATTCCGTTATAAAAGGATTTAAATTGTATAAAAGCCTTCTTTTGTGCCGAGGAAAGCAAAAAATTGTCCATTAAGAGGGTTTTCACTGTATGTTTTAATAATGTCTGTCTTAGCATGTATATGTGTACCAAATTTTACTTTAAAGAAAACACTTCATCAAATGTGACAGAAAATTTATTTACCTCTAGTTTTCATACAATTTACATTTTTAAAATTACTGATAATTTTTCTATTCTACGTTTATCAGCGTATTGGTTCAGCACTTTTTTCTTTTCCTTTTTTTTAATTGAAAAATTATAATCATGATTGATATAAGATTTTAAAAAACATTTAAATAATAATAAAACACAATAGTTAAACAATATTTATTTATTTAAAATTTTTTACATTTAAATAAAAATTTCCTCGCATCATTGTTAAAATTAATTTATTCCATTTTTTTTTCTACAAAGGAGAACCCATTTTTTCAGCTATTAGATGATACCGATAGTTTATATATATAAAAGATAATTTTACAGTGTTCCTTCTCTTTATAGTCATAAGTTACGCACTGTAAATTAAATCTAAAAAATAAAGAAAAAAGTGTAATATTAAAATAAATCCTTTTGTATGAATGAAAATAAAAACTAGTATACATGTATTTATTTATTTTTTTAAATGAATATTAAATTCTTTCTGAACTTACAATTCATGCCATATCAGTGGCTGCTGGTTGGGGTTGTGTCCCTTCTGGCGTCAATTCTGAAGCAGGTGGTTGTTCTGGCTGATCAGTTGTGGCATTGGCGCTTGCAACTTGAGAAACTGTACCACTGCCTCCGACGCCTTCAGACGGCGTGTTACCTGCCTGTGATCTCGGTACAAGAATCGAGTTCAGATTAGGTTGAATGCTCAACTCTGGAATGATAAAAAATTAATATTAACTATTAAATATTGAACTTCTAGCCGTCGGTATTCATACGTCAGTATGTTCATAACATTAAGACGGATAAGAAGCCCTTGCTTACCATGTTCAGTGAAGTTGAATAACGGAGGTAACGGCCGACCATTTGGCAAGAGTGTATTTGCTTCTCGTAATTCATCGAAAAATGGTTCAGCACAAGCTTGCAGTGGTGTGATTCTTAATGAAGGTGTGTACTCTAAGAGCCTAGAAACAAGGTCAATTGCTTCGGGTGGCGTTCTTGATCTAAACACCTGAAATATAAAATAATAATTAATATTATTATTAAAACACTCAAAACACTCTCTTCAATCATATTTTGGCGAAATTATCTGGAAGAAAATTGTTATTAAATATATCTTGTTTAATTCTTAGAACTGCAACAAGAAATTAAATATTTTCATAGTCATTGTGTTCCAATGTTTAAACATTAAAAAAAATTGACAGCCAGCAAAACTTTGTTGGTCTGCAAATTTGAAGAGTACACTCAAACAGGTGTGCAGAAGTGGGTTTGAAAATTAGAGTCATTGATGATAACAAATATAAAAGGGGCAAATTGTGTTTCAATTTCAATCAGTCTGTAACAGTTGTTCCTTAAACAATACAACTAAATAATTATTACCAGTGACAATGGATAAGATTCGAAAAGAAGAAACTGGAAAATTCACCATGTCTCGAACTTGGGCTCTTTCTCAACTTCCATAACTGCATTTTTGGAAAAGATAGAACACATCTTTAATTAACATTTGAAAATTTTTTTTAAATTAGCTGCACTCTTAACAAAACTGGATGAAAACAATCTACCACACCCACTCTATTCCTAACCTTGTTTAACTTACCATTTCATGCACTGGAAGCAAACAAAAAATGGGATAAAGACTTTTTTACAATCAAAATACAAGTGGAACAACCAGGAAACCAGCTGGCCTGGTTATTAACCATCGTTGAGGATACAACTGAAAATATGCCGACTAAAATACAGGCTCTCTCTCTCCCTAATCCAAACTTCAGTACTCAGAACATTATAGTAATCTGACTAGAAAAAATTCAAGAAGTGAGAATTTTAAAATTTTAAAGTAAAAGAATAAAACATTGTTTGGGGAATGGTGACGGAAAAGAAGGGAGAGGCAAGATGGAGGGTGTGTGTGTGTGTGTGTGTGTGTGTGTGTGTGTGTGTGTGTGTGTGTGTGTGTGTGAGAGAGAGAGAGAGAGAGAGCGAGAGAGAGAGAGAGAAAGAGAGAGAGAGAGAGAGAGAGAGAGAAAAAAAGAGTGAGAGAGAGCATAATCATAAGAAAGACAAGGACCGGCTAAGACTATGAATTTTTGAGAATTTCTTTAATTCAGCAAATCCCTTACATCCCTTCACTACTGAAAAATGAAATGTTAGATCGTTCTACATTTTTCTAGTGTTGAGTATAATTACCAAGGGGAAACGGAAATTGTACTATACCTATGAAATTAGGAAGAAGATATATGTACAATGAATCCTATACGTAAGGTAAAAATACAAACTATTATCACACATGTAGGAAAAACCGCAGAATAAATTAAAAATTTACGCCCCATAAGAAGGGGGAAAAAAGAAAAAAAGAGAGACCTCTATATTGTAGTTTGTGATGTAGTTTTCATCGGTCATGGTCTACCTATTCTCAATTGTTTTTCTCAGAAGAGTTTTGGTAATTTAACATCTTCTGTGGACAAACTGTGGGACATTCAATAAAGGTTATGTCCATTTTTTTTAGATTTTTTTGGCATATAAAAATAAGCCTACAAGATGAATGGAGGCAATCAAGGTAAAATTTTTTAAATTCCAATAAAAAATTAAAATAGTAATGTCAAAACAAGTCATCTCCAAGTTGAAAATAAAGTTTTCCCCACAAAATCCAGTGGAAAAACACCTTGTCATTAATTTAAAAAAAAAAAGTGCACAATATTCCAATTATGTATCAACTAATAGTAAAACAACAACTAATTAAAACAATAGAAATTTTTTCAACTAAAAATGAATAATTTATCATAGTTCATTATTTGAGTAAAACAATAGAAATTTTTTCAATTAAAAATGAATAATTTATCAGAGTTCATCAAAATAATAAAAACAGTATCATGATACACTTTGAAGTGTGAGTTAAAAGAAATGTGTTCTTTTTTTACTCAATATAATAATTTTCACGATTTTAATTAAGACTGCTGAACTGTAAATAGAAAAGTCTAAACATGTAAAGAAAGATAGTACTTTTATGAGATTCTTGTCCCCTTTTACATAACATCTCTAATGTTATTGCTTGCATTTCTTCATGCAGTTTTTTGTTTTGTTTTATTTATCAGATAAGATAGTTAGTACCACAAAATAACCATGATAACTACCAGAAGCGTAATTAATACCAAATATTTCAATATTTTTTTTACAAATACAAAATATGCATCAATAATACACAGAATTCAACCCATTTCCAGTTTAGTTGCAACAAATGCGCGCTTATATAATTAAAAAAATAATTTATCTCCACAAAATAACAAAAAAGCATTGCCAAATTGTGTACTCAGTTAAAAATAGCCATAAAAAACTAAATTACACGATTGTTAGAATGAATGTCCAGCGGATCATCTTGAAATATGAAGGTATAGGGGGGGATAGAAAAATAAATAACAGAGGGATGCTTTCTTGCTTTTGTTGCACGCCGTCAAATGACTTACTCTAATTTTTTGGTGGTCGGTTGTGTTCGAGTTGACAGACATTTGCTGCAGCATGAACTGCAATTAAAACAATTGGCTAAATTATTAAAAAGGACAAGAACTCTCTAACTATCTTCGTTGAGATGAAGTCCTTAGACAATGGCTGATCCTAAGTTTATTTTATGTTTGTAAAAAAACCTGATTAAAACCCTCTTTTAATTTTATTGATTGATCTAACCATTATTAGATTGTTTTAGAAGGGGGAAAATTAAAAGCAAAGCAGTTCAAGCTGAACTTGTTTATTATCAAAAGGACATATTTAAATTGTTTTTAGAAAGCAAAGTAACTTTTAAAAGAAAATTACCTTTTGCCAGGGGTGCGACCTGATTTGAGGGAATTTGAACTCCGTATAGTTTGGATTCATTTCCCTTATTTGTTCCCTTGTTGGCGTTCCGAGGACCTTAATGATCTCGACTAGCTGATCAACACCAGAATCACCTGGGAAAATTGGTTGGCCCAAGAGAAGTTCAGCCAAGACACAGCCTGCACTCCACACATCTAAAGAAAATTTTTGTTAGTATACACACAAGTGAAAAGAATACAGCCTTTATGCTGCATAGAATGACCCAAATATTTTTTTCAACAAAGACAGGCAAGGCTATATGAGATTCTATTTATATCTGCATGCAATGGAATCCATATTTTTTTATACCTTGCGGAATAACTTCCAAGTTGTTCATTTAAGCGTTTCAATCAACACACATTTATAGTAAACTGCTATTATTTTATCATCCAATAACTAATTATTAATATATTATTTAAAAAAATATTTTACCGATTTTTGTTGTGTAGTCTATTGCGCCAAATATAAGCTCTGGGGCCCTGTAGTATCGAGAGCAAATGTACGAAACATTTGGTTCACCTTTGACAAGATGTTTTGCAGAACCAAAATCACAAAGCTTTAGAACACCTGTTTCAGGATGTAAGAGAAGATTTTGAGGCTTAATATCTCTATGGCATATGCCGAGTGAATGAATGTAACCAAGACTCCTCATTAATTGGTACATGTACAGCTGAAAAGAGAAAAGAAAATACAGCCGTGGTGATGTTTTAAAAATATTTCATATAAATAAAATTATACTGTCAGGAGAAAGAAAAAAAATTCACCTTAATAAAACTAATGGGGACCGTTTGTCTAGATTTACTGTAGTGTCTTGAAACTTTGTACACGGTTTCAGGTATATATTCAAGCACTAAATTCAAGTATACCTCATCCTTCTGAAAAATGAACGAAAGTAGTATATTAATAGTGAGCAATTTATGTTTAAATTGAAAATACTTACCTTTTCACCACCTGAATAGAAGAAATATTTTAACTTGACTATATTACAGTGTTCTAAACGCCTCATAATCTGAAGTTCTCGATTCTGAAATAAGTAACACATTTTTAAGAAAATTAAATAATTAAGAACTAAGATACATCATATTTTTATTCAAAAATGTATTATTTATAGGTGAGTCAAATATAATTTTTAATTTTTCTAATAAATTTATTTCCATTGAATTGAAATAAAACCGTTTACAGTTGCAGAAGTCAAATTTGACCTACAAATCTATATAATAAGTGAATTAATTGATGGTGCAGAGTTTGTAAAAATTCAAAATTACAAAGAGAACAAGTTTCACTGCAACTATCTATTGTGAACAGCAGGGCTCTACAACCACTATTTCGGCTGATTTTACAAAGCACATTCATAAACCTTCAAAAACAAACTTGTTTTTGTTTTTTTTAATTAAGTGTGAATCGCCACACAGACTCAAGAAATTTGGAAAAGTGAAAAGAGCATGGAGAGAAGTTGTGCAAGAGTTCACCATGCAGCCCACTGATTACTGCCTGAAAAAATGTCGTATTTCTTTGGATTTACTGATAATCTAAACACATTAAGACAGTGAGTAGAGATGACGCCCTGCTTTGGAAAATTTATCATAGAGTAATATTTCAACACACAATTGAAAATATAAAACAAATTTAATTTTAAATCGTGTAACAGTCATTATTAGTTTTCACTCACCCTAATAATATATAACTTTATTAAAAGTGCATTTGAAATGTTTTCTTATGGGTTAATTTTAAAAAAAAATTGTGCTAATCAAATTTTCAGACACAACAAAGGTACTACTTAAATTTCTGACGTTGCCAGAGAACAAACCAATCAACACAAAGTTTAATACATATATAACAAAAACTCAATTACAAAATGTATGATTATGATCCATCCTTGTTGAACAAACCACTTAACAATCTATTGTGATTTCATATTCACTTTTTTTTTTTTTTTGGTTAATTTCTCCGATGGCTGTCACAAGAGTGTAGTTAGTTACCTTAAACCGTTTATCCTGAAGAACTTTTTTGATTGCAACCATTTCATTGGTCTCACAAAGCTTTGCTTGGTAAACAACTCCGAAACTTCCATTTCCAATGACCTTTGTGTCCATATAGGACACCTCTAAAGGTCTGTCAGGGCCCCTCCCCGGTGTTGCTACTACAGTTGTCACCTTATCACCATCTTTACCTGTAAAAAAGTCATTCCAATTATTGAAAAATGTGTTCATTGAGAAATATACTGTATAATTTTGTTTGCAATGATGATTTTATATTGTTCTTTAAACAAACAAAAACAAGTTTAATAAATTTTTTCAAACAATAAAAATAATATAAACAAGCCAAAAGTAAGCGATAAAATTATAGCACCAAATAACTTTTTCCCACTTTTATTGCAAAATTAGGTGCTTATTCTTTACTCTTAAAAATAAGAACAAATTTTTTTCAAACTTTTCCTCAATTTTACTTTTTTTTATTTAATCACTAACAGAAAAACATTAGGAATGAATATACAAAGTAATACACCTTTGAATAAGCAGTAAGTACAGATAACTAACCATTGAAGCAAATAAAGATGCATAATAACAGTAGCAAATTAAAATGCTTATATCTGAATTAAAATGTGTTGATTAAAACAGTATTTTTTATTATATCCATGACATTTTTGATGTCTTTGAACAAATAAGTTGCAAAAAGGGAGATTTAACGGGAAATGAAAGGTATAAGAGTGCTGACTCGTAACTATAAAAACATAAAGCATAATCATAAAAAATTAAATTCTGGATAATACTATTAATTACATGCATTAAGGTAAGGTACAATTAAAGCATTTTAAAAAGTGCAAAAAAGAAGATAAGAGGGTTGCATTAAACAAATAACACAACTTTGCACAAGAACATCGAAACAATTACACAAACTTTATATTAAAAAAAGGCATTTATTAGAGGCATCATTAAATATTAATTTTGTCTGTAAGTAATTTTTATAATGATAAAAATTGTTTTAAAAAATAAATTCATTCCAATGTGCATTAGCATGTCTTTCTGCCAGAAATCTGTTCGGTGTTTAGACAGTTAAAGGTGTGTTAATTATTTGTAAAAGCAGGTTCAAAAGTTAGAAAGAAAAAATTAAACAAAAAAGTAAATTTGAGTGGTTTTAACCAAAAATGTTATTTCATTTCATATTAATTTGTTTGTTGTTTTTTACATAAAATTGGAGAAAAAAAATTAAAAGCTGAATTCAAGTTTAAAAAAAGGTGGAATTGAGGAAAAATTAATAAACAATAAATTAATAAGGAGATAAAGGAAATGAATATAGAGTTGTTGAAATTGTATGATAAAAATGGAATTGCAAAGGTTAATCTCTTTATCAATTAAAAAATATAAATCATTGAAGCTTCTAGCTAATAGGAATATAAAAAAAATCTAACTAATAAACCCTTCAATCACTTGCACAGCTTTAATAATAATATGCTTAATATAAAAGAACAATAATATCAAGAGAGAAATAGGAAATATATTTACATTAAAATTATGGAGTAACTTATAAAAAAAAATTCCTATTCCATAAAAAGGAATTAACTATTGAAAGTAGTTTATAGACAGATCAGGTCTGTTTTCAGTTAGTCATAGTTCCCGATCCAAAATTAAACTTTTCCAATTGGACCTGTTCAATGTCCAAGTTGAATACCATTGATAACATAAATATTATACTGACAAGAGGAAAGAAAATATACTGAATACACACACCTAAAAAGAAACATCTCCCGATTTGGTAATGGCTGTAATTAATTATCCTTAACAATGCCAGAATTTACACATGAACTAAGAATTTTATTTCTTTGATCTAAAATTGACACAATTCGTCACTTAATTCTATTCTTAAATTTTAAATGTGATGAAAGTTAATACTTATATCTCTTTTGTTGTTGTTTTATGACACTATTAACACGAACATGCCTTTTAATTTTTTCCAGTGAAATAAGATATTTTTTCAATGATAGCAAACACGAGACAACAGTTCTTATTTTTCAAGAGTTGTAAATTTTATGACTTCAAAGCAAGTATTAGCCAACTGAGATAAAAAGGCCTGAGTGTGACTTTTTTTAAACTTTATTCACAATGTACAAATTCTGATTCTTTAAAGATAAATCGCACTGATGAAAAAATTCTTCTATCCATAAATTAAAATTAAAAAAAAAATGAATATTAAAAGCCACATTTCTTAATATTGTTAAAGAAAAAAGTATAAACACGAGTTACTACTTATTTACTACTTTAATCTTATTTTAGCAATTAAATTCAAAAATATAATATAAAGCGTTGACATACATTTTCCAAGGTAACACAAAACTGATAACGGTTTTGTGTTTACTTAAAAAATTTATCACATGATTATTAAAGAAGTGATTATAAATCCCTTACCTAATTTAGGAAAGCTAAGCTATTATGTAAAAAAACGGATGCGTCAAGATGATACATTAGCAAACTTAACACTCTTTACACCTTCAGGAAAACTGACATTGACAAAACGAGAATAGCTTACTTATTAGATGAATGAGTGAAGAAAATAAACTATTTTATTCACCAGGCCATTATTTCCTATTTTGTAAACATAAATGTTGAAATCTATAATGGGTAGTACGTGGATGCAGACAAATAAATCACAATTTTTCCTCTCTAATTAATTAAAATGTTTTCCAAAAGATAATCGCATAATAATTAAAAATTAAATTCAGGGATTTTTTTATGAGATGCATAAAAACTGATAAATGATTTTAATCTTTTTAAATCTAAATAAACTTAAGATAACATTTTTAAAACTATTTGGACTGAGTTGTTCTATTTGAAATAATTTTCCATTGGGCTTGCGATATTTTCATCTGTGATCTCAACAATTGGTGCTCAAATCGATACTGACTTTTTTTTTTTTAAGTGAATACAGTGAGTACCCCTCTGAAAAATATTGGTTAAGGCCATTTCTATGATATTTTTATTTATATATTTGCCCTTAAATAAAAACGATGTAGCACAATTTACCGCAGTTAGAAAATAATATGAAATAATCCTTTTTTTCCAAATTAAAGCTCACAGTAGAGTAACAAAACGTAGTTTTCCCCCTAGACTTTATTTTTTTTTTTCACAATTTTTGTAGGTCATATGACGAAGTTAATTAAAATTCTCAAAATACATAATTTGGACTATGATAAGGCAAGTTGAATTTTTTTAATGAAATTGAACTGTTTTTGCTCTTAATTTTGTAAAATACTTGGCTTTGTGTGTTTTTGAATGTGTGGATGTGAGAGTGAATGAGTGAGTGAAAGAATGCATGCAGTGAGTGTGTGTGCAAGTTTGTCTGTTTTTTTGAGTGAGTGAGTCTTGTGTGTTTTTATGGTAGTGTAAGTGTTGTGTGTGAGCGTTTGAGTGAATGGTGAGCATGTTTTATATGTGTATTTGTGCGTGCGCGCGTGTGTGTATGAGTGTGTGTTGTTTGAGTGAGTGAGCGTTGTGTGCGTTTTTGTTGTGTAAGAGCGTTTATTTTAGTGAGTTGTGCGCGCGTGTGTATGTGTTAGTTTTTGAGTGAATGAGAGTGCGTTTGTGGTGTGCGTTTGAATCGCGTACATGCGTGCTTCTGCGGTCCATGCGTGATTTTCGTTCTTTAAATTCCTTTAACGTAAAAGTGTAAAAGTAAATTCTTTACAACCATGGAAAAATTAAGTTTCTAAACGAAACAATACTGTTCGAAGAGAAAAAATTTCTTCAAAAATTTTTAAGTGCTCGTTTGACACGTTTTTCGGCACGATCAACGCGCAATTTCAGATAAACTTCAAGTGCAGGAACGATAGAATTTTATCACGTTATCCCAAAAGCGTAGAAAAGAGCAAGGAAGCGAAATCGTTCAAATTCAAATCGTTCGAATGAAAAATTGCGATTAATTTTAATCTGGCGTGATGATAATAAACATATTAAAATATATAAGCGAGATAAAAAAAATGACACGAACGATTAGTGTTTTATACTGACAATAGTTGCATTTAACAACAAAAAAAACTTAATTTGGCTGACAATTTATGTTAGAACAAGAAAGGAACAAGACAACAATGGCGGAATGAAATTTCCTTCTTAATTAATTTTTAATTTTGATTTGGTGAAAATCTCCGGTTATTGTACAGTGTCAAAAGAATTTTAAATTATTTCTATTTTTTCTATTGCAGGCATCAAGATTCCACGTGAAATGTCAATCCATCGATAATGGATGTTACTGGTTAATGTGCATTTTGGTTTTTTAAACAGGGTCCGAGGAAAATTGTAGGTTATTTAAAAACCCAAAAGAAGGGAGTGAGTGAGTGAGTGAATGTGTGTGTGTGTGTGTGTGTGTGTGTGTGTGTGCGTTTTTTTGAGTGGTTGGTGAGCGTGCTTTTTCCTGTTATTTGTACGTATTAAAAGAATTTTCAATGATTTCGATTTTTTTATTGCAGGCATCAAGATTTCACGTGAAATGTTAATCCATCGATTGTGGATGTTACTGGTTAGTAAATTTTGGTTTTTTAAACATGACTTTAAACAGGACACGTTACTTTTTGTTTGCCCTCATATAAGAAACTTACGAAGTTTGTGTTTGATAGATTTTAAAAAAGACTGAACGGAAAAGTTCGGCGTTTTCTCCGAAGAGGAGGCGTTCTGATGGGGTCTCCTGTTGGCACCCATCTGTACACGTACGTGCACTCCCAAAACAGTCGCACAACACAGAGCCCAAACCCCACCCTGAAAAGTCAGACCAGTCTAAATCTAGTCTTCGTCCCGAGAAGTAAAACGATTCCAGACGGGCTAAACTACAACGACTGGGGGAAAGAGAGACAAGTTTTCTAGTTCCTTGCCACCGCCAGGTTCACCTTGCGTCCCTTCAATCCTCCCTCTTCCTCACTCCCCACCCATGGAATACGGCCGATCAGAGAAAAGGATAAACCTCGACTAACAACAAACAAACAATTTTCCTTATCGTTACTTTAAAGATAAGACCGAGAGCTAATTTTTTCTCCTTAAACACGCTTTAACGAATATTAAAACCCCTCTAATACCCAAAATCCTCCTGAGGGATTGATGCGCGTTTTACAACTCACAAGAAATCGTAAAATCGTTACTTATAAAAGATCCAAGGTTAAATATTGAGACGCAATATTTTAAAATAAGACGTCAATAGAATTCCAATCGATCAATCGAATTCCAGAGGTACAACTCCAGCTATGCTCTCGCTAAAACACTGCGCAAATTATGAGAGTTAAGGAACAAAAAAACTTCATATACTATTTTTTAATATTAATATAATCGGCAACTTGACCCGACGTTCTAAAGATTCAAGTATAGATATAAAAAATTATCTAAGGAAATATAATTTGTGTTTCTTAGTGACCTGTTGTTTCATAATTTGTTGAAGTCGTGAGGACCGGTCAATGATGAGGTAGTTTAGAAAAACACTTTTTTCATTTTTATTTATTTATTTTTTTTTTTTAAAACCAACGTTCCGACTTTTTATTCCGGTCATCTTCAAGGCCTTGGGTAAATTACAAAACATATGTTGATTGGGAAAAATACAATTTAAGATGTAAATATAAATTATGAACCACCTCCACAAAGTGTGGTGCTATTCTTGTGGTGTCTACTGGTTTTGTGTGAAAGTCTGAAACGTGAATTTCTATACTGCTGTTTTTATACGATTGTGACGGGGTGGGAGACGCGGTAAATCTGGGAAATTTTCTTTGATCATAGGCGGTTTTATTTATCTCAAACTAAGTCGAGAAAGGGGTTTTTCTGGATTGGATTTTTATTCAATATTGGAAAGTAAATTTTTATTAAGTACGATAACGAAGTACAGGGAAATATAAAACTAAAGTCCAAGTGAAAAATGGCAAAAAGGAGCGAAAATTCAAAAGGTGGGGTTGAGATGGGAAGTTAGTGCCCGAGGGGATCGAAGTCGCGATAGCTCAAGTGGTAGAGTAGCGGCGTATCAAGCCGAAGGTCGTGGGTTCGAATCCCGCTCGTGACACTGACTTTTTATCTCAACTTAAAAACCTTAATTAATTGAATAAAATTAAAGTTTAATAGTTTATTTGCTTTATGATGTTGGCGTAGCTACGGCTGAGTTTGCATGTTCTGTTCTGTAATTAATGCTGTGTGTGTCTCTGTTAATGTAAACCATTTATAGAAAGTTGCGTTTGTATTTGTTTTTTTCTTTGTTTAGTAGTATTTTGTCGAAATCAAAGTTGTGTATTTCTCAAATTGGTGTGTGGCTAATGCTGCAGTGGTTTTTGTTGTTTTACAGTCATAGATATGTTGTTTTTTCCATTTTTCTAGATATTGCTATGCAATTCCAATGTATGTTGCTGGACACTTCATACAATTAATTTTACAATTTACATCGGATTTCTAGACTGTTGGTGTTGGATCTTTGGCTTTGGAAAAAAGTGTATGCACTGTTTTATGATTTTTAAAAGCTATTTTAATGTGTTCTGAGCAGAGAAATTTACTTAATTAGTGTGACAATGTGTGAACGAATGGAATGGACATGTGTATTGGTTTGTCTTTGAATGATTGTGTTGTGTACTGTGGAGAATGTTGTTTTGTGTAGTGCTGGGCTATAATTCTTCATGATTCTGTTGATTATGTCGTTATGTAAGATTTGTTTGAATATTGTTTAGGTGAAAGGATTATGACTTAAGAGATATGATTCTGTGTAATGACCCTTTAGCCGTGTTATTGTGTGGGGTTGATGTATAATTGAGGTAGCGATTCATTGGTTTTTGGTACCAATTTGTAATTAGTGAGCCATCTGTCTTATTATTACGAGTATGTCTAGGAATATTTTATTTTCTGTTTCGACTTCTTGTGTGAAATGTGGATGAAAGTTGTTAAATGGATTAAATACAAAGGTTATATCCATTATATTTAGTGGTCTGATTGACCAAATTACTGCTTTCAAATAATTAATCTGTTTATGTAAGGTTTTGTTTGAAATAAAAAAGTATGTGTCACGAGCGGGATTCGAACCCACGACCTTCGGCTCAATGCACGGTCACGATAGCTCAAGTGGTTAGAACAGGGCGTATTGAGCCGAAGATCGTGGGTTCGAATCCCGCTCGTGACACATACTTTTCCATTCCAATCAAAACCTTACATAAACAGATTAATTGAAGCAATTGGTAAATATAATTTTTCTACACAGAAGTCGAAATTGAATATGTGACATTGAAATCATGTAAACAACCGTTTGTCGATTGTCGATCAGGGTAGAAAACACTAATATTTCAAAATAAAATCGACGGTCAATAAAAATTCGAATGATTCACAGAATGCTTTAATAATTTGTAAGTTGACAGGTAAAAATATTTCACAAACGCTTCCTGCCCAGTTTCAGTGTTCTCAAAATTTCGGGGTGTCTACCGGAAAGCGACTGGCTAGATGAAACAGAGCAAAATGAGATCCGACTGACCCTGATCGAGTGATCTAAATTTTGACATTTTTATCCAAAATATATTAATTAATTGATTCCCTTATCAAAATTTACGACCTAGTTAATCGAAAACAGCGGGACAAGTTTTAGATATGTTAGTTATATAAATATCAACGTTTTACGTTTTTTCCGATAAAGAATTGTAAAGATATAATACTTCCTATAACTCTTGTCAGTGATAACAGTTTGATTTGCATTTCCCCTGCGAGTGATCCTTCACTGACGTTTAATAATGACAAATGGTACAGATACACTGTCAAAATTAACGTACAACCTTACAAAATCAAATCAGAAACGTTTCCGGGAGGCAAGATCTCTGACCTGAATATTCATCGATTCCACCTACCCTTTGTTTCCACATCATTCAGACAAAAGACAAGGGTAAAAAAACCTCCAAAAGGTCAATCGGTGTTCCAAGCCCTTCTGTGTATACTTTAAGAAATAAATAGAAGGCTATTTTTTTAAGTTTGGATATGGTTCGAGTGTGGGGGATTCATTCGAACCCCTCGATTCTTTACAGCGATATGATCTATGATTACCTAAATATTTGATCAGACTAAAATAATTTTATTTATTTTTTCACTTTCTGTGTTTAAATTCACAATTAATGGTGCTTTCAGGCTGGGAAGTGGTTTTCGTTAACGAAGAACATAGAACACGTTGATTATTGCAAAGTGCACTCAGTACGTTTAGGGACTGGTACTCAGGGAGATAGGTTCCGTCCTAAATCAATACCGGAAGTACGGGCGACTTGGACGCTGCCCCTCCCGTTTGTGGTATTTTTACTTCGAAAAGAACAAATAAATCCGCTGATTATAAGGACACGCGGTGTGGAACAAACTGCAAAAAGCCTACAACTATGCAGCGATAATTTCTCAGCGCGCGCCAAAGGAGGTTAACACAACCGGCTGAAAAAACAATAACAAATATAAAGAAAAGTTTGACAATCCAATAGAAAACCATTTTTTTTAAGAATATCAATACCAGTTGGCCGAAATGAGAAAATCTGTTTATAAGAGGGCAGTGTTGTCTGTCAAAGGCAAGATGATGACAAATGCAACTGCATAGACTCTAGCATATACTTCATAAGTAGTGATTTCTAATTTAATTTTTTTTTCAGCAGAGGAAATATCATAATTAGACAAACAATGTTTATATGCTACAAGCATACTCAACAGGACAAAAGACCAGAAGGACAAATTAAGAGAAATGATGGAGTGAGTGCGGTGTTCATCAATCCTTTTTAAAAAGATAGTTCCTACCACAGTAAGATCACACTTACTGCGAGTAGGAACTATCTTTTCAAAAAGAATCGGACAAATTAAGAGTGTATTTTTTGTCAGCGGTTTAATCGGAGTGATCGACCGGCCAATCCTAGCTATTGGACTGCTGCCATATTTTATCATTGTTTATTCTCTTAATTTACACGGCCACTGTAAATTTGACCGGGACTTAGGCGATTCTAAATTAGGCCAATTTCGATCTAATTCTCAGGCCACACAATGATTTTGTTAAATCGTAATCGAAAAGTGAATTTTTAAAGTCAGAAAGAAAGCCTGTAGGATGAGATAATACTCTTTTAAGGATTACGACTCCTTAATCCTTTTATACGCCGCTTGATAAAATAGACTGTGTAAACCCAACGGACAAAACAACTACGTGCAAATAATTTTTTAAAATTTAAAGATACCGTTAAAAAAGCAACCATAACACTCGCCTTATTTTCTCATTAAGTTTATTTTACCTTTGTGTTCACATTTTACTACTGTTTCCACAGAAACCAAAATTACTAAAAATAGTTTTGTATAGCCAAGACATCGTTCAAAAGGCGAAAAATTAGATTTTTAATCATTTGACCAACCACACGAGTGAATCAACTGCAACAATTGCACGTATCGGTTCAACAAGCACCAAGCCTTAGTGTAGGACTATTGTAATGTTCGCGTATGGGTACGTCTTTTATTTCTATATTGTTATGTGTATTTTATTTCTATATTGTTATATGTGTATTTTATAATTAATATTGTTGTGCTCGTAATATGGTCTTTATTAGAATAATGTTGTCTATTCGTGTTTATACGTATTTCTATACTTATGTATTTATCCGGTTTGCCAATATTTTAATGCTTATATGTACATGTATATGAGACAGAACGATAGACAGAGACGAGAGAAAAAGAGAGAAAGAGAAAGAGAGAGAGGGGGAGGGGGGAGCGAAAGCGAGAGAGAGAGAGAGAGAGAGAGAGAGAGAGAGAGAGAGAGAGAGAGAGAAAAAGAGAGCGACAGCGAAAGAAAGAAAGAGAGAGAGAGAGAGAGAGAGAGAGAGCGACAGCGAAAGAAAGAAAGAAAGAGAGAGAGAGAGAGAGAGAGAGAGAGGGAGAGAGAGAGGGAGAGAGAGAGGGAGAGAGAGAGAGAGGAGTGTATGAGAGGGATAGCTAAAGGTAGACAGAGAAAGAAAGAGTGAGAAAGCGAGAGAGAGAGAGAATCGAGAAGAGTGTATGAGAGGGATAGCTAAAGGTAGACAGAGAAAGAAAGAGTGAGAAAGTGAGAGAGAAACTACCTCCTTGTAAAAACGTTCTTAACTTCCACTTCATGTTTAAAATTCTATTCTGGCTGGACC